TGAAATTACAGGGTAGTAGCCCACCAAACTAGACACTTTTCTAGCTATATTCATCTTCAAGTGAAATGATTTAATGAAACCTGTTTTTCTCAACATTCATAGCTTTGCTAGTCTACTGCATTGCCTGGTTTTAATACATTCAGACGGCCTCATCCTAGGAAGTCTAAAGCTTGATCAGTGTCTAATAGTTCGGATATCCTCAATAATTCCACCTAAGGTAACCTATTTTATAACTATTCCAACTTTGAAACACACTAACAAGGAGATGAAAATTTTGATAGAAAACATGTAGCTGCATTACTTAAACTCTGGAACTTTCTAAACAAGCCTCCTCTTTACTCTCAAACTACAATCAACTGCATGTATTTGACGTATTATATGGGAAATCAGTAGATTCTCTTATATTGTTGTCCGTTGTGTTAGTTTGTTTTAATATCAACTGGATTAATTTTTTTTGCCCATATGTTTGCATTATTAGTCTTAGCCTCTGCTATGCCATTCTACCACTTTCAAAACACTAGCAACGGAAACAAGTTTCAGAACAATTTTCATGATAATCTTTTCCTGCCCAAGACATAATGGGTCATATGAAGTAGAGTTCATATGTTGTTGTTTTTTACAAACTTGCCATAGAGGGTGGTATTGTTGTCTGCACTATGAACCGGTTATCCTAACATCAATCTGGTACCCATTAGAGCTGGGTGGACGTATTACAGATTCGGACCCGAGCCAGGGAATCAAACTCGAGATATTTGAGGGTAGCAGTCGTAAGCTCTAACATTCGACCACGCAGAAACATATAATACATAGCTTATATAGATTTGTGATTTGATTTTAAAATCAGCAAACATTTTTAAAATAAATCTCTTTGTACAATCGATGTAGTAAGGAGGGGTAATAAAATTTAATGTTATATGTCATGTTGGGTAATAGATTCAGTCGGTTTTGTAACATGTAGTTGGAGCTTATGTGTTGGGGAAAAATGGTGTGTGTAGTGTGTGTAGGAGTTGCATGTGTAGTAGTGTGTGTAGGTGTAGTGTGTGTAGAATTAGTATGTGTAGGAGTAGTGTGTGTAGGAGTAGTGTTTGTAGGAGTGTGTGTAGTAGTAGTGTTTATAGGAGTAGTGTGTGTAGGAGTAGTGTGTAGGAGTAGTGTTAAGGAGTAGTGTTTGTAGTAGTTTGTGTAGGAGTAGTGTGTAGGAGTAGTCTGTGTAGGAGTAGTGTTTGTAGGAGTAGAGTGTGTAGTAGTGTTTGTAGGAGTAGTGTGTAAGAGTATTGTTTGTAGTAGTGTGTAGGAGTAGTGTGTAGGAGTAGCGTTCATAGTAGTAGTGTGTATAGAAGTAGTGTGTAGGAGTAGTGTGTGTAGGAGTATTGTTTAGGAGTGGTGTTTGTAGTAGTTTGTGCAGGAGTAGTGTTTGTAGGAGAAGTGTGTGTAGGAGTAGTGCGTATGAGTGTGTGTAGTAGTAGTGTTTGTAGTAGTAGTGTTTGTAGGAGTAGTGTGTGTAGGAGTAGTGTTTGTAGTAGTGTGTAGTAGTAGTGTTTGTAGTAGTAGTGGGTATAGAAGTAGTAAGTAGGAGTAGTGTGTGTAGGAGTGTGTGTAGTAGTATGTGTGTGGTAGTGTTTGTAGTAGTGTGTGTAGGAGTCGTGTGTATAGGAGTAGTGTGTAGGGGAGTAGTACAGGTGCAGTGTGTGTTTTATTTGAGAACTTTATTCGAATCAACCGATCCCGATGCGTTTAGGTAACAGCTGTGTGGAGAGGCGGGGCCTGATAAATGTGCAACATCCGGCTCTTCATTACTAATCCCCCAGGCCTTGCTCCCTTAATTCCTTGGCTAAAATATCCTATAAATCATACCTTGGAGCCATTTTTAAAATCTATTTCTAGTGTAATTCAATAGTGTATGTAGGCGAAGTGTGTAAGAGACCTATTTGATGAGTGTGCACTGTGTGTAGTTTTCTTAAATTGTCGTTGGCTTAGATTCAGGGGTCTCCAAACTTTTCAGTCCGAGGGCCGCATTAACTATCAAATTTCAGTTCGGGGGCCAGTTAGTTCCAGGCATGTCTTTGATTTTTTTGAGCAAAGTTCCTCAGCCATCATCAACAACGTGTTTTCCGTGGACAAAAAGATCTCCGCGGGCCGGATGAGAGGACATCGCGGGCCGCATCCGGCCCGCGGGCCGTAGTTTGGAGACCCCTGGCTTAGATCATAGGTAGGCCTACACACAGGATAAAAGAAATGTTTTTATTGCTTTGAAATATGTCGCAGTCTAAGGATTACAAATCGTTCACCATTGTAAACTAAATATGATCGTGATATGGATGTAGTTAGGACAACACAGTAGGACCTGCAGGTGTTGAAGTATTTTTAATCAGGATTTGAGTAGTGATATATAAATTTTGGCTAGATTTGGATTTTTTCACTTTCTTGTATATACGAAGTATAGAGAAAGTCTTGTAATCGTGCAAAAAAAAACATCGAGATTTTTGCAAATCTCGACGTTTTACACTTCCCTGAGTCGGAATAACATAATTTTGCAATCTTGTTCGCATGTCTGTATATGTGTATGTGTGTGTGTGTGTGTGTCTGTGTGTGTGTCTGTGTGTCTGTAAACACGATAACTTGGGTACCGTTACAGCAAGGTTGATGAAATTTTTTAAAAAGTGTTATACCAAAATCTTAGATCCGTACCAACTTTTGAGCGATTTCCGATAACCGGAAGTGGCACTTTTTCTACTTTGAATTTTTCAAAAGCCTATAACTTGAGGACTTTTTAAGATAGATAAATAAGATTTCACATGTATGTTAAATATTTAATTGTCTGCCTTCTGTCAAATTTTGAGTAATTTCTGTTTACTGGAAGTAGTAATTTTCGCTATTTCCGTTTCTCAAAAACGCATTATAAGGTACTAATAATATTCCGCACTATTATGCACATTTTATTTGGCGTTCACTTAGTGTGCAATTCTTTTTTCTACGAGATTTTATTCTATTTTAAAAAGTTTAAGTATTTAAAATGGATTTAAAATCATGTTTCTATCCCGAGTTGCCATCCCCTGTTGTTTCATATAAGAATATTCGAGAAAGTTTAGGACAGATCACTCCCGGTTCATTTAAATGTAGAAAATCCATAGCTACCCTTTTATATTATGTGCGCTTTGTCGGCATGATATAAATATCAATCAATCTTCTTTCTACAGTTTATACTTTGTATCTATATTTATTCACGATGGCTCCCGAGAACTTTCCGCTACACCACTGATACCTAAACGGTCATTGGGGTGTGTTCTACCTCGGTGTTACGGAAGGTGATTAACGTACACTCTTGGCTTTTAGCATAGGGCGTCTGGGCGGTAGTGTGGACAACCTCGCGCCCAAACAACTAAGATCCAAGAAATAGAGTTCATTGCAATAAATCAGTTTTAGAAAAGAAGGTAACGTGTCTTAAACACATGAATGGCAACACATCTATAAAATCCTCTTAAAAGCATGCATTGTTCTTTTCGTCTAGACCGCAGCAACGCGGTGACTGGTACGCTAATTAAGAAATAGTTTTAAAGTAATGTAATGAGTCGTCTACCCACAAAAGCAAAAGAACATTTAAACAGTTTTTTTTTTACACTATGTGGTAAATAAGGGTATATAGCCCCTTCGAACTGCTAGCAGACTTTACAATGTACTAAGCCTATAGGCAGTAGGCTGCCAATTTCTATCTTAACCGTGTAGCAGTACTATTTACAATAGAGGAACTTACACTGAATGGGAAATTGACAGTGTTTAGGTTAGGTTCGCCTGTCACAATTTTTGGGATATATGCCGAAGAAAAGAGCTGTCTAAGTATCTCTACAATGGTCTACTATCTGCAACGGTCCCCGGATGTATCCATGTTTCTTTGTGTCTTTATCCTGGGCACGTCGATGGTTTTACTTTATCGGCTTTGTTTTCTTTTGCCCTGTGTATTCTGGTGTATGTTCGCTAGTTTTGTTGTCTTTGTTTTCATTTGCCATGTGTATTCGGGTGTATCTTCGCTAGTTTTGTTGTCTTTGTTTTCTTTTGCCCTGTGTATTCTGGTGTATGTTCGCTAGTTTTGTTGTCTTTGTTTTCTTTTGCCCTGTGTATTCTGGTGAATGTTCGCTAGTTTTGTTGTCTTTGTTTTCTTTTGCCATGTGTATTCGGCTGGAGGTTTGCTAGTTTTGTTGTCTTTGTTTTCTTTTGCCCTGTGTATTCGGCTGGAGGTTTGCTAGTTTTGTTTTATCGGCTTTGTTTTCTTTTGCCATGTGTATTCGAAAAAAGTAGTGGACCATCCTCATAGTCATTGTGTATCGTAACTAAGGTACATTTACTTTAATAAAAATATAAAGATACGACAACCATCTTGAAACTGGGAGAATACTATAAAATTAATGAATAGTATTTTTTTATGTGCACGCATTCCAGATTTCACCAGCACTAGTTCTCCCATGCTCAGAGAGGTGCATTTCCTCTTTTGAGAATGAGTTATTATAAACAATCTATCTTCTTATCCAGAGAGATCAATCAAAGTTTCTAACAGTGCAAACCATTAAAAACAAAGCTGAACAATCGATTAGACATAATAATCCCAATTAGCAATTAAAATAGGAATAATCAATTTCTTGACCAAGGCAAAAGGTGAAGGTGTTAGGTTTACAACTAAAACATTTTACGGTAATTTTGGCTATGTTTAGTCCAATATAATTTTTTTTACATATTTCAGCAAGGTAACTATAGAAACTCACATTTTAAACTATCAGATTACGATAAGCAATTTTTGGAAGGCAATATTTTTTTTTAACTCTACAATTATTAGTCTACTTTTTGCATATGGTAATATCCGTTAAATAAAGAGAAATTCTGAACACATAAATTAACTGCAAAGATAATTTTATTTTTCTTGAAAAGTATTAAAATCTAAAACAAGACACACATAATTAGTGTAACTATAATTTGAAGTTTAAAACCTAAAAATTAAATACATTGGTATTTATAGTTAGAAGTTCAAAACGTTTTCAATTCTTAAAAATATATCAATCTGGATTATCAATTAACATAAATAAAATTTTTGACTTTCTTTTCTAAAAGTTGCATGAAATAAAATCAAAGTAATTTAATTGATTTATTGGTATATATTTCTTCATCAGTTAAAATTTGTTCTTTAAAATATCTTTGACTTAATAGTGATGACCGTCTAGAGACGTAAGGCCTCAGTTATTCACGACGACGAAGTTGGTTTTGCCGGGCGCTTTACAACCTGACCGGCCATCTGTTGCATGAAACCGAAAACAGAAAAAGTTTAAAATATTAATTTTAGTACAATTAATATTACTAAAAAATTACTAGAGAAATGGCTTAAGTAGACTGTAAATAAGGAACACATACAGACATATATATATATATGTATATATATATATATACATATATATATATATATATATATATATATATATATATATATATATATATATATATATATATATATATATATATATATATATATATATATATATCGCTAAACTAAGTAACATATATTACGAACGACTAAAGCTTTTATGAAAGATAGTAAATTACTTTTATTTTCTTATTTTCACTTCATTAAAATTTTTAAAATGACTAATTAAACATCTAATTAAATTTTAAAAATAGATAGATTTGTTTTGTCATCGTAGTGGAACTTATCTGGAAAGTTGGAACGAAATCGTTGTATTTGAAGTGGGTTACAAGATTTGTTAAAGTAAAGAGAGAGAGAAAGAGAGAGAGAGAGAGAGAGAGGGAACTAAATATTTAGTAAATCGGTTTCTTAACTATTTTCAATAAGTCTAGTAAAGTGTATCTTACATTGGTCAAAGTCGTCGAATCGGTCCCTCATGCTTGCTTGAAGCTAAAAGGCGAGAGAAAAAAAATTACAACTTTATCTTTATGCTCGTCAGCGTATCTAATTAAATTGTAATTCTAATTAACCCTTTATCTACTGACGGTACTTATAAGTACCACTTTAATTAAGTGCCTATATTACATTTCATTTAATACGAATTTTTAAAATTATTGAAGTAATTAATAGTATTATCTCCTCTGAGTCGCCGGTAGTCGGAGGGATCAATGTTTTTTGAAAATTACTGGTGTGACACCATTTTCAATGTCTAGCTGTATCGGTAGTTCACAATTTTTCTATACAGTTCTCACACACGTTCTTGATTTCCCTTTGTTTTACCTTATTTTCAAGTTTTCAACCCCAAATATTTTTTATTGGCATCTCCAATAGTCAGGCAAACGCATTTAACTTCTAGTTCTACAATTTTAATCAAATTGTCTTTGTATTAGACCGATGTTTACAAGTGGACTTATAAGTACCGTCAGGGCACACGGTCATTTTTTTAGGATTTTTAGAAAACGGCAGATTTTTTATGTGGAGTTACATAAATATTGTCTTGATGATTAATTATCGAAATGTACTCAAAAAATGATATTTACACATTTATAAGAAGGTTAGCATATGGTTTTCCTAAGAGATATTGTAATTACATGTTAATTTCTAGTAGTAAAAAATAACAAGAATAAAGGTATCAGTTGAAGGCTCGTTTACAAGGTTTAGTATACTTCATTTGTATACCAAAGCCTAGTTCTAGTTGTAAGATTTAATTTGTTAGTTATATTTACTTCAATAAACTATCTTGCCTACAACAACTAGCATTTACGTAATGTATACGTGTAGACTAGTAATAGTCCATACTTCTGCATATAGTATAGACCTATAAGATAAATTTTAATCAGTAACCAAACAAGAGTAGGCCACTACGGCTATCCTAAACATATTGAGCTCACTTCTATTCATGAACTTTGCACTGTAGTGTAGACTTGTCATAACATTCTAGTAGGCTACAATTATACTAGCATTACTAGTAGTTGTGTGCTGAATGACTAGGCTTTTGTTTATGTGGCTCATAGTACTAGCTTTTGGAAGCTTCTAGCAAAAGCATGTTCATTCCGGCAACCGTTGCTACACCAGAAAACCACAGACAAGATTGAGGGAGCTTGAAATGTCGACTACTTTTACTGTGTTTGAGGTCTAAGATGTGTTCCGATAGAAAATCGAGTAAAAATCGTACTCAAAATATACTTTTGTGCTATATTTATGTGTGAAGATTACAAAAAGTGATGGTTATAATGATTGCCATGTTATTAGTTAGTAAATTGTATCGTTTGTTCCTGTTTTGTAAAAAAAAATTAAAAAAAAAATGTCCTACATTCCTGACGGTACTTATAAGTACCAATATAGGTTTGGGCCATTAAAAATTTATGAAACAAAATTTCCTTCGATATATTCTTTGAATGTGCCAAAAGCAATATAGTAACACATTGTTTAAGTAAAAATTTCATTCAGAACATAATTCCGTAAATAAAGGGTTAAAGAAATCTCACCTCACGCAAGCGTTTGCGAGCCCACGACAGAAGGCGATTACTGAAAGACAAAAAGAGTGTGCATTTTATTTAAGCCATTTTAATCGGTGATAAAGTTTAAATTATATATATATATATATATATATATATATATATATATATATATATATATATATATATATATATATATATATATATTCATTTGGTAAGATTCGGTTGTTTTCTGTTTTATATCCATGTACCGAATCGATTGGTAGAGTAACTGATCATACTGAAAGTCATAAGTCTTATACATTCTTCAGCTAAGATCAAATATTGATGGTCGCCTGCAAATATTTCAGTATCGATCATATCTACGTTGGAATATGAGACATACAGGTTAGGATAGAGATTAACACAATGTGGGTCTAATATATCCTCATCTTTAGATGCTGATGTGTATCTGCATCATGCGGGCTTATCTGAATCGTTACTGGCGTTTCGGTATTACCAGGGGTTATCTGTATCTGAATCTCCAGGGGCGTATCTGTATCTACATCCCCAGGGTCTTATCAGTAATTGTATCCCTAAGGGCTTATGGTTATTTGCACCCCCGGGGCCTATTTATATCTGACTGAATGGTCAGGCAGTTTTTATAGAGTTTTTAGAGAAACAAAGAACAAACGTACACGATCGCTTGTTCTTTTAAGTTTAAATTCTATCAGTTAAATGCAGAGGTTGAAACACCTAGACTTACTCAGATAGAATGTCATACCCTTGGTCGTCGTACCAGTCGTCACCTGAATGCACAGAAATACAAAAATTATGTAAGTAAAAAAATGGCATTATCGATAGGTTAATTAATTTACTTTTGATTTAGATGTAATAAAATTTAAAAGCTAATATCAAAATATAAGTAGTTTTGTGTACTTGGGTTTAGATATCCGGGCCACCAACGTCGGTTCGGGAATCTTCGCCCGTAACTCGGCCATCTGTTTCTACGTCTCCTGCGTGGTCTTTGGGGATTTGGAGCGGGCGTAGCTGGGGCTCTAGTTGCTGGTGCTCTGGTGGTGGTCGCTGGTGCAGGTGGAAAGGGAGGGGGCACAGTTGCTGGGGGGTTAGGAGGGGTGTTTGGCGCTGGTGTAGCTGGTTCAGCGGTTGGTGGATCCGTGGCGTTTGTAGCTGGGGGGTCCGTTAGACAAGTAGTTGTCGGGTCATTAGGACCCGTAGCTGGGGGGTCAGTTGGATAAGAAGGTGGGGGATCAGTTGGACCGGTAGGGGGCGCCTCAGTTGGACCAGCCGACGCTGCATTTTGTGATGTAAATTTTGTAAGGTTTGTAACAGTTCTATGTATCAGTTTAAGTACAACAAGTCGATTCAAACACCATTTTTGAAAGGCTCTGTTGAGCTTTTTCAAAACAGTATTTATATGTTTATACATTGTTAGGAATAAATATGTGTCTTTAAAATTAAATAAATAAATGCAAATGCCTGGCACTTATTCTGTAAACTGAAAAAATCATTGTTAATGAAATTTAAACAAAGATTGTGATATTGGTTAAACCGTGATCACAACAATTGCTTTCATACGATTTAACGCAATACTACTCGAGTAGTCTCGAGTTCGAATGCGGGTGCAAGTTAGTCGCCCCTGGGTCCACCCAGCTAAATCACGTGTTGACCACATTAAACTTTTATATGTAGATGTCACCGAAGTAGGTGAACTCTACTTCTTTTGCCCCATCGACCGTCAGGTTCGAAAAGGGAAATTACTTTCAGTTACTAAGACAGATGTTATACAAGGGGAGATAATAAGATCGGAACATAATTAAACCCTTAACGATAAACGTGTATATACCTGTGTTTATAAAACAATTAAAATAATAAATCATACACTTCGAGATAATGTGTAACTTAGGTGAAAGAATATTAAAGAAAAAAAAGAAATCGTTTCTCCAATGTCTAATACTTAACTACAAACAAATCAAATCCCTTTGCAATCACTCTTCGGCTTTCAAGATCAAGACTTTGTAAAACAGTTAAGGACAAAAAGAATAGAAATTAACAACAATTATTTCTAACATGTTAACTAATGTTAATTATCTAATGTATAGAACTTAAGCTGATACTTGCACAAATTATACAATATAATCTTTGCTAATAATTTTTAAAACATTGAAATATATAATTTATGATAATGGCTGATTACAAAATGTAATGTCTAATAATAAAAGTGAGCGTAAACTTTTTAGAAAACGTTGTATTAACTTACGATTAACACATTTCACTATTGTCGTCTGTACACCATTCGTAGTCCCAGTCACCGTCTTCACGTGAAGCGTGCACGCATTGTCTTTAAAGGCGTATCCTATACAGTTAGCCGTAGCTTTACATGCATCGTCACATTCCTAGAAACATATTTCTCAACGTTAGCCACGTGAGCACACAAAACACAATATTGAAACGTTGTAAAGTAACGGTGTAACGCACATTATTGTAATCTCCTCTCGAAACAATTTACACACGTTTTTTAATGTTTTTTCTATCAGATTACAGAAAATTTAGTTTCTAAATTAGGTGATATTTACTTTTACAGAAGGAATTATTATTAAAATACAAAAATATGTCATTTCTGTTAATCATTATTTCGTACTATACACACACACACACACACACATATATATATATATATATATATATATATATATATATATATATATATATATATATATATATATATATATATATATATATATATATATATATATATGGTAAGCAAGTAACATCTGTAATGTCACATATACTTTTAAAAAAGTAAAGCTACCATTAATTTAACTAGTATCGCTTGTTAAATGAATAGATCTAAGAAAGAACCATTCGAAACACTTACCGTGTTTGGTTGAGACGGAGGAGCTGTAACAAAATAAACAATCAATCCATATATATCTATCTATCTATCTATCTATATATCTCTATATATATATATATATATATATATATATATATATATATATATATATATATATATATATATATATATATGTATATATTGAGAGAGAGGGAAATAGAAAGAGAGACAACGTAGGAAGAAAGAAAAAGAAAGAAAGAAAGACAGACAGATAAAAAAAAGAAATAATAATAAACATGTATCAATATGCATAACTAGATGCTCATGTTCTATACACTTAGTCAATATACTGGTATACACGTAACTATGTTCTTCGATAAATTAGCGTAATTTAGTTTATAATTATCCTGATATTAACTGCTAAATAATCCAAACAAAAAAAAAAGGTTGCGAATTGTATACCTAGATATTTCATACAGATATACGAGTACAGTTTATTACACACCTAGATCTTTTCTGCAGATATACGCGAAGATATTAGTACATCTGACGTCATCCCACTTATTATCATATCTGGTGAACGTTCGCAGACGAACACACTCTCGCCCGCCATTTCCGTAATTTGGTTCACCTGTTGAATACAAGTCATTATTTTATAATGGTTCATGTACTACATAATGGCATATATATATATATATATATATATATATATATATATATATATATATATATATATATATATATATATATATATATATGTTTGTATATATATATATATATATATATATATATATATAGGCCTAAATATATATATATATATATATATATATATATATATATATATATATATATATATATATATATATAAACCGCACAAATGGAGAAAATATCCTAGCAATGAAAGTAAAATTACTTTTAGCAATTTCTACGACTCTTATCCAAAAACTAAATTTGAAATTACATAGTCGTTAAAAATGGGAATTTCAATGGTCCTGGTGTGACGCAAGGTCGTATGTTATGTGTCGTAAGGGAACAGTGACAAGTAAGTATCGAGGATGGTGGACCAAGATGATCGAAAGGATTGAGGATGGTGGACCAAGATGATTGAAAGGATTGAGGATGGTGAAGCAAGATGATTGAAAGGATTGAGGATGGTGGAGCAAGATGATTGAAAGGATTGAGGATGGTGGAGCAAGATGATTGAAAGGATTGAAGATGGTGGAGCAAGATAATCGAAAGGATTGAGGATGGTGGAGCAAGATGATTGAAAGGATTGAGGATGGTGGAGCAAGATGATTGAAAGGATTGAGGATGGTGGAGCAAGATGATCGAAATGATTGAGGATGGTGGAGCAAGATGATCGAAAGGATTGAGGATGGTGGAGCAAGATGATCGAAAGGTTTGAGGATGGTGAAGGAAGATGATTGAAATGATTGAGGATGGTAGAGGAAGATGATTGAAAGGATACCAGACGCCGCTATAGCCCACGCAGATTATGCGAAAAAAGAATGTTTTATTTATATTAATGTTAATTATTTATTTCATTTACAAGCAATACAAAAACATTTCTTAAGATTATGATGTGGGCATAGATCACTAGACACAATGCCTAGGGCCTTAATATAACAATTTGACCACATTTTAGGTTTTTATTTTGTTATATTATTGCGGGATATCATTTATTATGATAAGTTTAAGATTAAATTCTTAGCTTGAAGTAAGATTAATTCAATCCTGACTTTTTTAACTGAAGTCACATAACATATTAATATATATATATATATATATATATATATATATATATATATATATATATATATATATATATATATTAAAACTTATGCACGTTGATTCAAATTGATAAGCAGTCTGAAGTTATTTTACCCGCAATTCATTCAACTCATGCATAGTATCCTAAAGTTATCTTTATTTAAATTGATTACATCTGAACAGCAGACAGGCATATTATCTTAAATTAATGTTTTAGTAAAATATTTGACCTCTGATCCAGTCAAAAAAGACATGCATTGCATCTTACACTAGTTCCTTATTAATTAAAATGTTTCACCTGCTATTCAGTCAACAATAAGCATGCATATTATCTTAATGACTAATTTATTAGAATATTTGCATTAAAAGACATGCAATTTATCTTTTAAAAAATATTTGACTTAAAATCCAGTCTACAAAAGGCATGCATACTATCGTACACTTATGTCTATTAACTTAAAAATTGTACCTGTGATCCAGTCTACAAAAGACATGCAAGAGCCATCTTGCCATCTCCAGATACCTTGACCAAGTTCGTCCGTCAACCCGATCCAAATATCCACGTTTATGGTCTTTGACATTTCTGAAAATATACATTGAAGAGAAATGAAATTAAATCTAAAGCTTATATTCAGATGATATTTAACCATTAGGTCTGCGTGTAACTGCAGCCCTTTTATCATCAAGTGCTTCAGATGATGAAGTCAAGCAATGCCTGGGCTTTATTTATTTCATCTATACCCTTGGGGATTGTCAGCAAGAACCTTGTAGGAAACATTCATTCCAAACAAAGTCTAGTCTAGTAGGCCTATATGTTCTTGGGAAAACAAAAAGAATGCAAGGTCCGCTTGAAATAAAAGCTGGAATAAGTTGAAGCCAAGAGATTTGTACTTCATAACCTGAAAGTTTTTGGGTTGTATTTAATACAATAATGAAGACAGAAAAATATAACTTAAAGGCAATCTCGAGGCCTTGTAGTACGATTCTGTTGCAGTTAAACAACACAATATAGAACGTTTGCTATAAGAAATGCGTATCTACTGTTTTGTGAGATTCCTGCTCGGTGAAGATGTAAGTCATGCTTTTCCCGGTACAAATATGTGATACAAACTAACTAACCGTATGGTTTATATATTTCTCTATATACGTATTTAGGAATTAGTTCAGAAACGTTTATCTTTCTACTTCTAATTAAAATAAGAAGAAAAAGAAGAATAATAAAAACGATAAATAATAATGAAAATCAAATAAGTAATAATAATACTAATAATACTGATAGTAATTAAAATAAATGTAGACATAATAAATGTATAATGTTAATAATAACGATAATAATAATAATAATAATAATAATTATAATAATAATTATAATTATAATTATAATTATAATTATAATTATAATTATAATTATAATTATAATTATAATTATAATTATAATTATAATTATAATAATAATTATAATTATAATTATAATTATAATTATAATTATAATTATAATTATAATTATAATTATAATTATAATTATAATTATAATTATAATTATAATTATAATTATAATTATAATTATAATTATAATTATAATTATAATTATAATTATAATTATAATTATAATTATAATTATAATTATAATTATAATTATTTATTAATTATTTATTAATTATTTATTAATTATTAATTATTTATTTATTTATTATTATTATTATTATTATCATTATTATTATTATTATTATTATTATTACTATTATTATTATTATATTAAAAATATAGTAATTGGCAGCTTTTTTCTCCGTAAATCGATAGTTAACATCCCCATCATCATTCCTGTAGACCTCTTGTTGAGTATAAAAATGCAAAACACACCTCTTCATTACATTCGGTTTTGGGCGGCTCCTCAATGTTGAATATATCAACTGATTTTTCTCTAAGTTTGCTTTGACATGTCTAATTAATTAAGCTATTAAGAAAGAAGAAAAATATTTTTTTAAGTTTAGCATTGAATTACTAGTAAAACTGAATCGGCATTTTTAACTCGTTTATTGCTGTATTCATGTTTTACTTTGTGGTGCCTGCTGACAAATAATGGGAAACTACTCCGTTTGGAGTTTTATAAAGTTGGTTTAAATTCGATTGTCTCACCGTGTAATGTTTTAAAAATAGAATTTGTAACCTTCGTTGTTTCATTTGTACATTTGTTTATTTTACTGGCTAATACTTTTCAAATAGTACACTTAGTGTATATTAGCAGATTATGAAATCAAATGAGTACAACATATTTTGATGAAAACGATCTGGTATTGAAAATATGTTTCTTTAGATTTTCATTTGTCTACGTAATTTCTCAAGAATAACATTTCAATTGGAAATTATGAAATGACAAAATTAAGAAAAAGAATCCTTAAATTTTTATTTAATAATTTATTAAAATTTAATCATGTGTTTACTTTGAAAAGTAGTTATTTAGATGTTCGCAAGGCAAAAAAAAAATAATAACAACAGTAGCCTAACTGTTAAAATATAAACAAATAAAGCAATGTATTTCAAACAAACTTTTTTTTACAATAAACTGAAAAACTGTTTATATTTAAATAACGTTTTGAGTTGATTAGTCGCCCCCGCCCCCCAACTCACACATAGTGTACACAAAGTCTGTATTATGGTCCTTGATATAACCTTCTCATTTCATGTTTAATTTGCTTAATGACCAAAAATGTATTGTTAAAAGTAATCGAGAAATACATATCATTATAGTACATAACTTAAGAAATCAACAATTGTATCAAGTTACCTGATATGTAGGCTTTCTCGACTAAATCAGTGACGGAGGTTAGTTGTCCACCAAACCCAACGCATGCGTCTCTGGCATTGGGGTACGTTTTCCCGACCTTTTCGAGACGATAGCATAGTGTTGTCCCCGGTCGTAAAGTCCATCCAGGCCCACAATCTAGAACGGTCGAGAATAGACATTTCTATCAATTTTATAAAGAACGAGTTCAGACTGGTACATGTCGGGCACCTTTAAAAAAAATTCATTTCATGAGAGTTGTAAAGATAGACATTTCAGTCGAGTCTTTAAGAACTAATTCGAAGTGGTAAAAATTGACATATCAGACAACTTTTAAAAAGAACGAATTGTGAATTTTAAAGAATGAATATTTTAATCAAATTTTTATGCAACTACTGTAGAATTGTAAAGAAATGACATTTTAGTCAAAGTTTAATGAACTTGTTAAGAGTAGTAAGGGTTGCACATATTAGACACATTTTTAAAGAACAATTTTGAATGCTAAAATTTACATTTTAGTCAACATATATAAAAAAAACTAACGAGGCCTAATAATTAATACGACCCGACCCGCGGCGTATCATACGCCGCTATTTAGTTGTTTTATTTTGCACTTTTCAGTAATTCATAATTTGTGAATTCGACAGTACCAACGCTGCCACTGACAATATTTGCTTTAAAACACTATCAGTAGCTCGTTAAGCACGATATCCCCCCATCCTTTCCCCCCCCCCCCCCCCCGTAAAAGTAAACTCCTCTTAGTTACCTCTCCTAAGTTTAAAATCGTTTTAAACTAAATTATCTGCCCCTAATAGCCGTCACTAAACCCGGCTCTACGACCCTAAGGGGCGCCAAAATGAGTTGGAAAAACAAATTGAAAGTTTAAAGGGGGGTGCAAATCGAAAGTTTGAGGGGTGGGGGTGCAAATCGAAAGTCTGAGGGGTGGGGGTTGCAAATCGAAAGTTTGTCCCCGGTCGCCGGAAAGGGTCGCTACGCCTCTGCTTAGTCCACCCGGTTTTTATGGTTTTTAATTTAGATAAAATCGAAGACGGCAGGGCATAATGCTAAACACATAATTTCTACATACTCCGCCGTCAAAGACACAGGCTAACTAAAAGATAAATCAATCTACAAATATCTAAATTCTACAATAAAAAATCAAAGTGATAAACGCAACTACCTTGAGCTAAGGATAAGCCACAAAGTAGCAGAATAGCTGCTACAATCTTCATGTCAGGAAACTTGCTTTTGCCAATCTGTAAATGGAAAATAACATAACATAAACCATAGCTAGCGAGACTATTTATCCTATTTTTTTAAATCCACGATAGAATAAACTTTAATATTCTTTTTAAAAATATTAACAGACAAAGAGAAAAATTATAAACGTTGTTTCTGTGTTGCAAAGTAATGTTTATCTAGCAGAAGACAACTCTATTGTAATATATAGAACTTTCTACAATTTGAAATGGTGACATAATTTATTTTTTTTTTAGCGACGATGGATGTCACTCATTTTTCAACCCATCGTTGAGATCTTTGATCCCAGCCTATCATTCTCAGTGTTCTATTTGCAAGATCTGAGCCTGTGGCAAATAAAGCTATTAGGGAAAACAAATTTAAATAATAATACGTAAATATTCAATTTTTTAATAACCATCAGTAATTTCTTTCTATTACACTATTAAAATATAAATGTAGCTTTGCTAGTGGTCTTAAAATAGAAAGCTTACATAAATATGACAACAACATATCTCACATATACTGAAAGCAGCTTAATTTATATTAAGTCTAGCATGTAATAAATGTTTTAAAGCAAATTCAACAACTCGTTTGGTGATAATTTGAAAATTTGGGACACATATGTCCCTTGGGCCTCAAAGGGTTAATGTGCAACCGAAAGAGTCTTGGATATTTGCGCTATTTATAGAGAAAAGTGTGACAGTCCAGACACTTGGGTGGATCTTCCATCGAAGAAAAAAAGACGTGGCGTCCAAGACAACCGGGGTCTTCGTAAAGAAAAACAAGCAGCGGGGATATCTTCAGAGCCGGGGTACGGACAAAGTGGAAGTTTTTGGTTGAGGCCCTACCCTCCTCAAGTGCATTTCGTTCGGCATTTAGGGGTCGGCGTGGTCGAGTCGGTAAAGCTCATGGTTGCTAAACCGAAAAGTCTCGAGTTCGAACCCTCGGGCAGATGAGGCTCGTTAGCTGGGGACAGCCACTCTTCTAGGAGAGATAACTCCAAAATTAAAGCAACTGCTGCCTTGTAGTTTGTTCTTGGTTGGACAAAGGCTATGGAAGCAAATCCATAAAGAAAAGCAGGCTGAAATCGGAGTCAGTGGACTCATAGGCACATAACCAGTTGACACGTATCCTTAATTTTGTTGGAGGCGTGGTCGAGTCGGCAAAAAGCTCATGGTTGATAAATTCGAACAAAATCTCGAGTAAAACCCACTGGCAGATAAATCTCGATCCCCTTCAACACTAATAATTAATAACAAAGAAGAAAAAGAAGTTCGGCATTTGATAAGCACGCGGCATCAGATAAACAAAACATCTTTTTAAGTCAAGTCACTATCGGCCTTTTTAACAGCATATCAAAAAAATCTAAATTGATTTTCAATACAATTGGGAACTACATGTGTGGAATGGTAGAACACTCAAGCACTTATCAGATAAGATCGCTCATCTCTCATTGATGTCTGTTTCCATTATTACAATATATGCAATTATAACGTAAAGTATACACTGAATCGGTTGCGAAATGCTTGGATATAATTGCATATACCACCTCATACATAAACACCTTTTGCTTACATTTAAATATTATTTAAATACTCTTAAGTAAATAAAATGAACGAAGAAAAGAAATATAAAACTAACTATGGATATATGTGGTAAAAAAACAACTCACCTGGGTAAGTAAATTCACCAGTTTTAAGCATCCAGACACTTCTCAGTCCGGCTGCTTATTTATTGTATATGTATATACTGTTTCAAAATCTATAATTCAACATCATGCGTGGGTGAGCCTCACGAGCTATTAAAACCCAGGGGCGTTTCCACCGACTTACTATAGAATCCAGCACTGTCCCGAAGAATATAATAAAAACGTGACACGAAATCCAAAATTTCCCCAAATTATCCCCAGGGTTTATTAGAAGAACGGAGTTGTGAAGTGAAATAAAAAATGTGGGTGTCTCCAATCTTTTAAAATATTGCACACGGTCATATAGTAAATTAAATTTCACTTTTTGGACTCGACGATTCATATGGCAGATGATATAGAGCATATAAAGTGTGTGTGTGTTGTGTGTTTGAATGACAGGTACTCTCTTTTTGTTATAGTTGTAACCTTGGTTGAGTGTGTTTACATAGAACGAGAGGTGTTCACGTGAGGATTGTCAGTTGACGGGTGACAGAGCGTGTGCTAGGGTGTGTGAAGGTTGGTTGGGCGTGTGGTTTGGAGGAGAACGTGGTATTGTGTATTGTAATTTTCTATCGTAAACTTTTTAGTATTTACTATATTAAGGTAGTGTTAAACTTTATATATATATATATATATATATATATATATATATATATATATATATATATATATATATATTTATTTATTTATTTATTTATTTATGTTTTTATTTATTTATTTATTTATTTATAAATATATTTTGTGATATATTCATGACCTGTCTGAAATTTTAAACTGAAGATTTCCAGGTTAGTAGTCAAAAGGTTTTCCAGTCGAACTAGCTATCCCATGAAACCAAGTAAGCATAATCCGCCTTTGTACCGAATCGATCGTCACGTCTTTATCACGCCCACATTGGAAAACTTTTCCAGCGTCCCACCAGGTTTTGTGTTATTTCTTTTTTATCTGTTTGTGTGGGCCGTTTTCTGTTTTAGTTGTTGTTGTTTGCGATAAAACAAAAGGATGAAAGACGTGTGGGATAAACCCTAAACCATTATTATAATTTGTTCGTAAGCGAATTTTTATTTTAACTAATGTGATTTTAATTTATTAATAAGCTTATATGTAAATACAACAATAAAATAGCTTTGAACTTAAAACAGTCGTTTGCGCTAAATATTGATTTGTGATACTTGTGTAAACAGGAATGTTGTTTGAGGGGGTGTCCAAATACTTTCATTTATATATATATATATATATATATATATATATATATATATATATATATATATATATATATATATATATATATATATATATATATATATATATGAGGTTTTATCTCTAAAGACAATGAAGAGGCGCTCAAAGAAGTACAATTTGTATAATTTCCTTGTAATGTTGCAGGCTCTTTTATGTCTGATAATCTCTACCACAGTTAATACCGATCCTTGCAGTGTGTAACATATAAGTTGAACTGCCTCTTCTCCCCTTAGAGGCTACTTCGACCCTTTTTTTGCGAAAGAGTGTGCCATTTCTCTGAAATTGTATTTCTCTATATTCCTATATATGTGAATGTAGTTTTTTATTATAAAAGCTTGCGATGTTTGAGAAAGTCCTTCTTTCCTATTCTTGTCATATAAATATCAACATTCACAGCATGGTGAGCCATATAAAACATCACACATCACGCCATGAAGCAATGGTGAGAATATGTTGATATGAGAATATGTGTGTAACTACGCACACACACATATATATATATATATATATATATATATATATATATATATATATATATATATATATATATATATATATAAATATATATATATATATATATATATATATATATATATATATATATATATATATATATATATGTGTTTGTGTTTGTGTGTGTTTGTCTGTGTGTGTATGCCTACATGATTAGGAGTGTTCGTTTGTACGTGTAGGTGTGTGTTTGTGTGTGTGTTTGTGTGTGTGTGTGTACAAAACGTGGGCGTGGCAAATCTACCAATAATGTTGCATTGATTGTTGTCTTACCTCACACGACATCCCTGTTCTAAAGACCCCCCACAAAGTTTGGGCTTGTTGGGATAGCATTGATTTGTCTAACGTTACATCTGTCTCATACACATAGGTCTTCAAAGGGATGATCTCATAAAACATTTGATTTATCGTTCTTTGGGAGAAATTTAATTACCCAACCACTGAGACAAAATAAACAGTGATTCATCGAGAATTATAAAAATTATGAATCGAAAACAAGATGATGTTTTTCTTCGTTTGTAATATGTAGCCAAGTCGAATTGTATAGATGGAGTATTGGGGAATGGCACTAAACTGGACCCCTCAAGGAAAAAGGAATCATGGAAGGCCAAGTGAGACGAGGAAGCGCACAGCGAGGAGCAGCCGGCAGAGACAGGACTGTCATGCGGGACTGTCTAGAAAATTCCCGGTAACCGACAAACATGGAGGCGCACTGCTGGCAAAGTCAGGACAAGCAAGGGGAACTAACAAGAAAATACCCGGTGACAGACAAAATTGTAGGGTGCTTTCGGTGCAGTCCCATGTGTCTTGGGCAAAAAAAACCGGGAGTGATCTCCCCTAAACTTTCTCGAATATTCTTATATAAAACAACAGGGGATGGGAACACCATTTTAAATAGAATAAAATCTCGTAGGAAAAAGAATTTCACAACAAGTGAACGCCAAATGAATTTGCATAATAGTGCGCAATATTATTAGTTTATAAATTTAAATGCGTTTTTTGAGAAATCGGAAATAGTGTAAATTAGTACTTCCGGTCAACGGAAATTACTCAAAACTTGACAGAAGGTAGAGAATTAGATCTTTTGAACTTACATGTGAAATTTTATTTATCTATCTGAAATAGTACTCAAGTTATAGGCTTTTGAAAAATTCAAAGTAGAAAAAGTACCACTTCCGGGTAATTGGGAAATCGCTCAAAAGTTGATCAGGATCTACGATTTTAATAATATACTAAAATCGTATATATGAAATTTCATTAACCTATCTGTAACGGTACTCAAGTTATCGTATTTACACACAGACAGACAGACACACAGACATACGGACAAGATTGCAAACTTATGTTTTTCCGTATCAGTGAGGTGTAGAATGTCGAGATTTGTAAAAATCTCGATTTTTTTCGCACGATTACAAGACTTTCTCTATACTTCGTATATACAAGAAAGTAAAAAGGAAAAGATGATGATAATGTTGATGATGATCGTGTGGCCTACTACGATATTGTGCCTAGGCGTTTTACTTTTGATATTGTATTTGGTTTTGTTACTTTAATTCATATTTTGTTCGGGTTATTAACAACTATCTCATGACCAACTATAACAATCGAGAACAAAGTACAAGATACAGGCTTAATTTAGGATAATTAACACATTTTTGCCACTTTTCGCCATTTTACACCTCTCTAATTGATCATATAGGAAACTAAGAGTATACATTCTAATCGAGCACACAATCTAAAAGAGATTTTGATGAACTTTGACGTTTTACATTCTTCAAGATCGGAAAAAACTTTTTTTTTTTCAATTTTTTACGTGTAAGAGATTGACAGATTTTAGTTAACGCATACTAACGCGTACCCGTACACACACACACACACACACACACATACACGCACACGCGCGCACACGCACACCACTTGCGAACGTAAACTAATATTCTCTCTCAATCTCTGTAAATAACCCTAGGCTACATCATTTTTAATGATTGCGCAATCGTTACAGAACAAAGAAGAAGTCAGTCGTGCGATACATCCACCGATATAAAACTTCTACATCAAGAAACGTTAACTACGTTGTTGTCATTGATCCTCTCCTTGTTTTGCTGTGTGTTGGTACGCATCTGTGTTTATAGATACGGTTGAAGTTTTTTTTTTTCTTAAGTCCATATGTGTTGCTAGTTTATAAGAAAAATGTTGGGGTGGTGGGGTATTCTTTGTTTGAAAAAGAGGGGATTGTTATTTGCGTTAAGCGGTGAGGGGAGGGTGTGGGAATTGTTTCCGTTCATCTATGTTCCATCTGCTGCATATTTGTAAGATAGGGATTGGAGTTGTTGTTTGTGGTAAGGATAGAAGGGGATCACGGAATGTATTTAGGGGTGGGGGTATTGCTTTTGGTAATCTGCCTGTTGCTACACTTATGTAAGGGGGTGGGGGTTATTGATTCTGTTAAGGTGGACGAGGGGGTGGTGATAAGGGGAATAAGGGGAATAAGGGGGTGGTGTTAAGGAGAGTGAGGGGGTGGGAATAAGAGGAATAAGGGGGTGGTGATAAGGAGAGTGATGGGGTGGGAATAAGAGGAATAAGGGGGTGATGTTAAGGAGAGTGAGGGGTGGGAATAAGGGGATTAAAGGGGCTGGTGTTAAGGAGAGCTAGAAGGATACAATTCTGGCTGTATGCTAGAATGGTACAAGTCTGGCTGTAAGCTAGAATGATACAACTCTGGCTGTAAGTTAGAACGATACAATTCTAGCGTCAAGCTAGAATATGACACATTTGTCCGTGATTCAGGTGTGTTAAGCTAACTGAAAAACTAATTTACACAGCCAGTAGTTTTTAAGGTTTCTTCTTTTATTTAAACTATTCTATTTTTAGCAATTTGCTAATTTGTTCAAGTTCGTGTTTAAAATCAGTCAGTTCCAGCAATCTAGAAACAGCCATACCAATGTTACTGTGCGAATAAAATGGTAGAATTTCAAAATAATTCTGATGTCTCTTAACTTTTATTTTCTTTTCCCTAGATTTAAATTTTCAAACCAGTGCAGCTTTTTATACTACGTTTGTTTTGTGTAAATAATATGGCTGTTTGTTAGGCTGAAAGAGTAAATATTATGTTGCAAATGTTTATGTGTATGTTATAAGGCTTGTCAACAAGCACAAACCAAGACTCAATACGCCATTTTGTTTTTTCCAAAATTAAATGAATGTACGAGGTGATATTGATACAGTAAACTTGCAATTATGTTTGAAATGAGGTTGGAACTCCGGAAAATAGAAAACTAGTTTAATCATGGATGTGAGGAGGGGGGGGGGGGGGGGCAAAAGGGTAGGCCCTATAATGTCGTAATGGTATATCTTTCTTTATGGTTTACAACTAAACTAATCGTGTAACATCACAAACTGAACATCGTTTTTCAAACACTTAAACAATAACCCAATACAAAATATGACACCATACAATTAAAACATGGAATATAAACAAACAAAACTAGATTTTAACTTGGGTTTTATTCAATTGAAATGAACGAGAAACGACAAAATCATTTTCACTATTATTAATTTTTAGCCTTTTTAATCTTTAGTTTTTCTAAAATAAAATTATTGCTTCTTGCGTATTTCTGAACATTTCAAAACTTTCAGTTTTAAGAACAAGTTTGTAAAGTGTATCTCTTTAAAATATGTTACTGATTTTGAAACTCCATGTCTTGAAGTTGTCAAAATGTCAAATAAATCTTAAAGACGACGTAGATTTGTTGTATCTTTTCTGTAAGAAAGAAAGACAATATATTTGTGTAAATTTAGGAAGCTCATCAACTCAAAATTTGTTTCATTGTCAATATTTTAGAGGGTTTTAAAAGTACTTCGTACTATGTGATTTAATCTTTCAATTTCAATATTTTAGCAGTTTTTTCTCGTCTGAAATGTGTCATTTCTATTTTCACTAATATGGTATCTCACCTGTGTTTTCTCACCTGTGTTTTCTCACCTTTTTCTCTCGCCTTAACCCAAGATTGAACGGATGAGACCAAAAATTATTTGAAGAGGGTCCTTAGAAAAGAAGAACAACATTAAAATTGTGGCTCTCCATGTACGACTTACAATGTGCTTTACATTAGAAAATAAGTTTTACCTGAATCAATTTCTGTATAATTGGTGCTGAAAAATAAATTGCAGTCAGCAGTCAATTATCCCATTTTAAAATTATATATATATATATATATATATATATATATATATATATATATATATATATATATATATATATATATATATATATATATATATATAAATGTATGGTTGATACGACAAAAGGTATCAGGACAAAATATGTTATATAACTTACTTATACACCTGGGGACAGTTGGAGAGACTAGCTCAGGACAGAGATGTCTGAAAAGCTCTTGTCAGCGGCCTATGTCCCACGAGGGGCGACAGGCAAAACTAACCTAACCTAACCTAACGTACTTATTACATATTTAGAATAAGGAAGTTGATCATTCTGTTAAAACCGAACTGAAAGTATAATAAATAACAATGAGCAATAGAACTTATTAGTATTTTACAAACCGGTCGTTGTAGGTTTGGTAGTAGATGCAGTCGTAGTAGTTGTGGTGGTTGTTGTCGTTTGAGTGGTGGTGTCTGGAAAAGGATTTAAATTATCCAACTGTAAGCACGTTTAGAATATAAGCAAACAGAAAGCCTTCTTGCAGTACAAATAATTGAATCTTTGCTTTTGTCTGCGAGTCATCTCACTTTAAATTCTACCCACACCCAAACGTTTAGCCTTCTTACAATCCCCAGCCATGCTTGTGCCGATTCATCAATCTATATATAATTCAGTATTTAATAAGGGAAGCTATAGTCGAATGGTAAAGCGTTCAGCTTATCCAAAAGTCTCGAGTTCGAATCCCGGGCTCGAGTCCAAAGAATGTGCCACCCAACTCTGATGGTTGCCTGACTTACGTTAGGGATAGTCGGCTGGGTATAGAGTTGACCACACAATCCCTTCATATGCCGAGGTTGCTGACAGTTTACTTTATCTCGCTAGACCAATGAATAGTATCTTCTGAAAGAGTACTTTACAGAATAAATTATCTTCAAAAAGATTTTTTTTCTTATCACAAGTTCTATTGGGGAAATAAAAGAAAGTTCATTACTTCATCTGATTGCGCAAAGTGTTGTCAGTACTATGCTAAACCGCTGTTGATTCGAGCCAGATACCCGTGAAAGCTGAGTGAACTCAGGGATGTTCTCCGGACTTCAGTCAACATAACTCATTGGCCTTTGCGTCAGCAATTGTGGGATCTACCACTCGATCACATTGTCACCTACGACTATCGTATATAGAATGTAAATTATTCAAACTACTTACCATCTCTGCAAACTTTAACTTTGTGATTGTACTTGCTATCCTGGGGAAGTTGTTTTACCGCAAAATTTACTGAACAGGTGCCTTGGTAGAATTGGACCATAACACAGTATTCGTAATCATAGCATGCATTGTAACAGTCCTGTTCCTGTATATATATATATATATATATATATATATATATATATATATATATATATATAGAGAGAGAGAGAGAGAGAGAGAGAGAGAGAGAGAGAGAGAGAGAGAGAGAGAGAGAGAGAGAGAAAGTTTGGTATTAAAATAAATGTTGCAGAAAAACATATTTTACCGTATAGCCTGTACTACTGTCATCCCAATAGGATGCATCACCCCCATAGCCAATCACGTCTTCGAAAGCACAAGCACCTGTAAAAACCTACGTCTTAGAAAAGGCGATCAACTGGACGGCGTGGCCTAAAGGTAGACAGCTAGACTGCTAACCCGAAAGTCTCGAGTTCAAATCAGTAGAATGTCCCTGAGTTCACCCAGCTCTGATAGATATCTATATCACTTTAGGGAAAACAAAGACGACTGATAACACCATTCTTTCATATGTCGAGGTCTCTCAAGCAGATGAACTCTAATTCATCTTCCCTTTGCGCCTAGGGCACGAACTTGAGATGATGATGAGAAAGTATTTTGTCTTAGTGTCTGTGTATAAGCGCGTCTGTAAGAGTATGTCTTTGTAATTCTGCCAATCAGTCAATCAATGTTATTGTGTTTATAGAGTGTTTGATGGTGTATAAAAAATATTTCTTATTATTTATTTGAACACCTGTCGTCTTATATGTGTGTATGGATGTCTGTTAGTCAATATTTGTATCCGTAGACATTGTTTCTCTTGCACACTCTCTATCACTTTCACTTCTGTTCTTTCCGTAGTAAGGAATCAAAGAATCCTCTTTACAACAAGCGATCCTAAGGGCAGACGAAGTAGAGTTTATATGTTTCTTGACTTTGGCATATGAGGTGAAAGTGTGTTCACTTTTATTACTTTACGTGAGTTAGATACTCATCAAAGCTGGGTTGACTTAGGGATGTTCTTCTGACTTGAACCCGGATTCGAACTCGAGACTTTCGGGTTAGCGGTCTAGCAGTCTAGTCTACTGTTCTTTCCGTGGGGTATGTTAAAAAGGGTGACAGCAGGATTAATCTCAGAAAAAAATCCCAAAATATCTCAGGATAAAATTAATCAAGACAAATGATATCACGGATAAACGGTTTCAGATAAAATATCACAAACAAAACATCACATGTCAAAATATTTATAGTATCTAGGATGCGTTATTCAATTTCAACCCTTTTTTATAATTGATTGTCATTTGGTTTGTTGTTTTTTTTTAACCATTTTTTCACATAATAATGAATAATTTTTCCTGAGATTATATGTCTGGGATCATTTGTCCTGAAATTATTTGTTATGGAACCTTTGAATAGTATGTGTCTATTTGTTTTTCAACTCACCGTCAACAAGCTTTGGAGCTGAGAGACATAAGGCAAGAAGTATCACTTTAGAAATACCAGACGACATTTTTTTTTCACTAACAGAATCTGTCACTTCAGCTAATGAAAAATGAAATAATAATATCAGTAGTAACAAATAACAAAATAAGATAAAAATATTATTAGAGAGACACTTGTCACTCTTCAGCGGTTCATAAAAACAACACGGCAAAAGAAAAAGCAATGCGGGATATATATGTTATTGATTAAATTAGAAGAAGCTTGACATTAAATTTTTTACATGCGCATATATATATATATATATATATATATATATATATATATATATATATATATATATATATATATATATATATATATATACACATATATATATATTAAGTATTACGTGTCAGCTGGTTATGTGCCTTAAAGGCCGTTGACTTCAATTTCAGCCTGCTTATCAACAATATCATTTTTAACACGTTTTTATTAACTCATCTTCGCGTTTGTTTGTTGTTAAAATTGACAACGAAAATTAGCCCACTTCTGATTGCTCTAGAGATCTGAAATTTGGCATGCAGGCTACTTTCGCCTAACAATTTCAGATGCAATCATAAAAACTAGCAATTAGAGACCTAAATTAGCTTAATTAAATTACGCCCCAAGGACCCTAAAATTGAGGACATGATTTCTAAAGATACCGACAAGACTGGAGGCCTATTGACACAGTTACTTCGGCCCCAATCGATGTGAGCGCGCTGGCCGTGATCGTATAGTGGTTAGTACTTCGCGTTGTGGCCGCGACAACCCAGGTTCGAATCCTGGTCACAGCATTTGATGACAAAAAACGTGGGTACGTTCACCATCCAATTTCCAAAATTCGTGTAATAAAATGTCATCGCCTAACAATTTCAGATGCAATCATAAAAAACTAGCAATTAGAGACCTAAATTAGCTTAATTAAATTACGCCCCTTCTCTGTTTAAAGCGTATCGGTCGCTCAAGATTTTTAGTCCGTGTATTTAAAAACACTTAGTCAAGTCATACTTAATCAAGTCATTAGATAAAGTAGAAAATAAACTATATAAAAAAACTTTTTAAAAACCACGTTTTTCATGTGTAGCAACGGACTAAAAAGGAGAAAATAAAATACTTAAAAAAAAACTTTTTAAAAAACCACGTTTTTCTTGTGGACTAAAAAGTAGAAAATAAATTTTTCTTCCGACCCTAGGGGATCTACCAATGACTGCTCGTAGATTTTGTGCTTCCTCGAGCTGTGCAGGTTCTTGTGATGACTGTTCATACATTTGATGACAAAAAACGTGGGTCGGGCAGATTTATGATTAAAGCGAAAAGCACACAACTCACGAATTTTGGAAATTTGATGGTGAACGTACCCACGTTTTTTGTCATCAAATGTATGAACAGTCATCACAAGAACCTGCACAGCTCGAGGAAGCACAAAATCTACGAGCAGTCATTGGTAGATCCCCTAGGGTCGGAAGAAAAATTTATTTTCTACTTTTTAGTCCACAAGAAAAACGTGTTTTTTTAAAAAGTTTTTTTTAAAGTATTTTAGGTTTATTTCTATAGCCTTTGTTCAACCAAGAACAAACTACAAGGCAGCAGTTGTTTATTTTGGAGTTGTCTCTCCTGGAAGAGTTGCAGTCCCGAGCTATCGAGCTAGCAGCCATGACCTTTACAGAAACGACTATGTTGATCCCTCTCTACCAAACAATAAGTTTTAATTACAGAAAGAGAAATCTCCTCATTTACTAATACAACTATATTTTCTAAACTTTCACCCATAAAAATAAACAAACTTCCAATTATACTCATCCACATTTAAAGAAAAAGAAAACTTGAACCTTTACCAGCGTTATCAGAACGATACGTAAGTTCTAAACCGAGTACTTGAACGTTCGTCAGAAGCCAGTGTATATTTTGCTTACAACAAAACGCCCACACAACACATCCAAGTCAAGGTTTCATATCGTAAACAACGCTTAAGGCTTAGCCATTGGCTGGCTAAGATTTCACATTCCGGGCAAGCAGCACATCGTGGGCGAGTATTTTCATGTGTAATCTATTCTTAAATCGATACTGCCCATTTCTTTTTACATTTTTACATCATGTAAGTGTACACACACACACATACACACACACACACACACAAACACACACACACACACACATATATATATATATATATATATATATATATATATATATATATATATATATATATATATATATAATTTCATTCATATAATGTGGGCGGTGATGAGACACAAACAAAAATAAAAACCTCTAATTTTAAAGTGATTTTTTACTTTTTCAGGTTTACTTAATCGTATATTCAAGCCGTATACATTAGTCTCAACGAGACAGTTTTGTTTTAGAGTAACCTATATTGTCAGAAAAACATCATGATCTTTATGTAAGATAGCCCAAATAGAAACAGAGCGGTACTAATGACCTATGAGACGAGAGTTCAAGTCAGTAGAACGTCTTTTAGTCCACCTAGCTCTAATGAGTACCTATTTCACGTTTGACTCAGCATATGCTGAGGTGACAGAAACAGGTTAACTCTACTGCACTTGTCACACGGACCATTGGTAGAAAAATTTGAACTGTACTTTACTAATCACTTACATAGTGTGCCAAATTATACCATGTAAAAAGCTTATATATAGGATATATAGTTAATACGTTAAGTACTACAGTGTTGTTCATTTATTAGTGTTTTTGTAAGGTTGTTGGTAACAATATGTTTAACAAGGGATTTCCAAGACGCACGGGAAAATTTAAAAGGGGCCTCCAACTCCAGATTTAAATTTTCATTTTTCATTCCATTGTTTTATTGTTGACTTCTTTGTTCATTTTTCATCATCAAAGCCTGAGTTTTTCGCCTTAGAGTGAAGGATGTGCACAGTTGTAAAATACAAACATACACCAACGTCCCAGGTGGTCCACCAAGATATTTTCATGGGGGGGGGAGGCTCACCGGGATTTCACAGTTGTTGAAATAAATACGCCCTCCATTCGTTTGCATCTTGTTAAATTAGTGGCAAACACATTAGATAACATTGGCTTAAATGCAGTGTTTCTTTCAGACTTTTTAGCAGGTGGTGCAGTTTAAGTTTTCGGAGTGGTGGGGGGGGGGGTCGGAATAAATTTTCCGGTAACTGGTAAAAGTATATATTTTCTATATAAATTATATTTCGTTTGGGTTGGGGGTTGACTTTCTTCTTGAAGAGATGTCTGGAAGAAACTGTTCAAATGGAATCTTTTCATGGACATATGGTAGCTCTTCATACAAGAATTTCTCTCTTGAATATTGAATTGAGAGGCTCTCTCATCAATTAATGTAGGCTCCGCATACCACAAATTCATATCAATGCAAGGTACAGTTTAAAAAAAAGCGGGTGTAGTGTTTCTTAAATTATTACGTGTGTATAATTTTTATATAGATCTGAACGACGTTGCAAAATGATTTTGCGCACCAAATCAAAGCAATATGTATATAATAGAGTGGGAATTATTTTTACAAACAAAATCTTGATTACATTTTAAAACGTTAATTAAACATTTAATAAAGTCACAGTGTGTTTCACAATTAATAGCTAACGAGTTTTGGCCAACGTGAAAAGTTTGAAAGATATCGGTCCGGTAGACGTTGACATTTTGTTCGCAGTTTACCTCATGTGAAACCAGAATAATAAGAAACCAGATAATAAGAATGTATATATCTCTGTACTATTTAACGGTAGCCATTTTTATCGTTTTTTTTTTAGAAAACGGAATTAAAGTAAATTATCACTTCGATGTATTTATTAAGGTTATTCTAAAATTTAAAGTATAAAATTTTAAAGTTATATATGAATTTTCGTTTTCCAAAATGAAACAGCATTCAAGTTACTAATGTGGTATCACTGTTGGTAACCAGAAATCGTTAAAACTCGCAAGACACATGCGCATGCAATAAGCAATTTAAAACTAGCGAGCCGACCCGCGGCATATCGTACGCCGCTATTTAGTTGTTTTATTTTCTACTTTTCAGTAATTCATAATTTGTGAATTCGACCATACCAATGCTGCCACTGAAAATATTTGCTTTAAAACACCATCAGTAGGTCGTTAAGAACGATACTACCCCCACCCTCCTTTCCCCCAACCCCTACCCTACACCCACCCCCACCCCCCTCGTGAAAGCAGCCTCCTATTAGTTACCTCCCCTAAGTTTAAAATAGTTTCAAACTAAATTATCTGCCCCTAATAGCCGTCACTAAACCCGCTCTATGATTGTAAACATTTAGCGTGAACCACAGCTCACCAGACCATATAGGGGTGGGGTGGCAGGGAGCGCGCTAACAGCTTATTTTCTAACGTCTACCAGAAAAGAATTATATATATATAGATTTGTGAAATTTCGTCTATCCTGCTTAAACGGTAATCAAATTTTGCGAACTATAAGTAGAGTAAGAAGCATTTCCGTTTAACGGAAATCGCCAGGAAGTTGACACAGAACAACGTAGTTGATATAATGCTTATAATTAAAATTTCGTCAACTTGATTGAAATGTTACTCCAGTTATCGTGCTCATAAACATGCAGACTCACAGACATACAGTCAAAATTGAAAAACTATGTTTTCCCTATTGAGGAAGGGATATAACGTCAGTCTCGATTTTTTTTCTTACACGAGTCAGTACGTTTTTTCGTATATGAGAAAGTAAAAAAAAAACAAAAAAAAAAACTAAGAAAAGGTCATTGAAGTTGTACAAGAATTTTTTTTAAATATACACGGTTATTTCCCTTGAACGTGTATACCAAATTATAAAATAATTTCAAATAACAAATTTAAAAATGAGTTTTTGTTTGATTGTTATGATTATTTATTGTGTGTTCTGGGCAATGGCGTAGCGAGGTCGGGTGTCACCCGGTGCGGCACTTAATGGTGTCACCCCCCAGAGGCGTAGCGACCCTTCCCGGGGACAAACTTTTAAACTTTCGATTTGCACCACCCCCCCTCAAGTTTTTGATTTGCACCGCCCCCCCCCCCCCTCAAACTTTCGATTTGCACCCCCCCCCCTCAAGTTTTTATCTATATATTTTGCTATTTTTTGCCTTGGTGTCACCCCCCTAAATGGTGTCACCCGGTGCGGTCCGCACCCCCCGCCCCCCCCCCCCCCCCTCGCTACGCCCCTGGTTCTGGGTGTTCTTTTTCAACAGTGAAGTGATCGCCGTCGAATAGGACGATACCGGGTTTATATTTTTTAACAATTTTTCATGGTCATTTCAATAACACATATTTTTAATAGCAATTATTGCGTATTATTAGAAAAGAAAGATCTATGTTTAACAGTGAACGATTAGTGTTTGGTGTAAACGTGTCTTTTGCCCATTTTTATGTCCGAATAGCTGAGAGAACGTAAGGTAAAAATACGGCAATTACTGTATTTAATATTTAATATATTTATGTATTGCGTGTGTACTGTGAGTGGTGTGTTTACCACATGAGCTGTGGTTACATTAACTTACACGTGTAAGCGGTCGTGGGTGTGTAGTCTTGTGTAAGGGTGTGTTTAGGATTGTTTCCTTGTGTAAGGGTGTGTTTGTGATTGTTTCCTTGTGTAAGGGTGTGTTTGTGATTGTTTCCTTGTGTAAGGGTGTGTTTGTGATTGTTTCCTTGTGTAAGGGTGTGTTTGTGATTGTTTCCTTGTGTAAGGGTGTGTTTGTGATTGTTTCCTTGTGTAAGAGTGTGTTTGTGATTGTTTCCTTGTGTAAGGATGTGTTTAGGATTGTTTCCTTGTGTAAGGGTGTGTTTGTGATTGTTTCCTTGTGTAAGGGTGTGTTTGTGATTGTTTCCTTGTGTAAGGGTGTGTTTGTGATTGTTTCCTTGTGTAAGGGTGTGTTTGTGATTGTTTCCTTGTGTAAGGGTGTGTTTGTGATTGTTTCCTTGTGTAAGGGTGTGTTTGTGATTGTTTCCTTGTGTAAGGGTGTGTTTGTGATTGTTTCCTTGTGTAAGGGTGTGTTTGTGATTGTTTCCTTGTGTAAGGGTGTGTTTGTGATTGTTTCCTTGTGTAAGGGTGTGTTTGTGATTGTTTCCTTGTGTAAGGGTGTGTTTGTGATTGTTTCCTTGTGTAAGGGTGTGTTTGTGATTTTTTCCTTGTGTAAGGGTGTGTTTGTTATTGTTTCCTTGTGTAAGGGTGTGTTTGTGATTGTTTCCTTGTGTAAGGGTGTGTTTGTGCTTATACTAATGTATCTGTGTGTTTATTATAGTGTATGCTTGTTTGTATACAAGCACATCAATGCTCTCGCGTGATCCTTTTAATTAAATTCATACATCCTTTAAGTTTATGCATGTGAACATATTTCTTAAAGCAACTCAAATCAACCACTTAGAATAAATTTTGATTTATTTATAAGGACATTTCAAATACTGACAACCTAGCATCTATTACATTTGATAGTTGTAATAGATATTGTAGGTTCGGCAAAGTCGGACGGTAAAGGTATAATTGCTAAACTGAATATCTTATTTCGGGCCGCCGGACGGATACCAGTTACTTCCCCTGGATTTGTTCCCTAATTTTTAAGTCTAGAGCTAGTTTTTAACTGCTGACAAATGTATGATGGTCCTAAGATGATTCATCTGTATTTAGCAATCAGCTCATATTAATCAACTATTTCAAAGTTTGTGTTTTTTGTAACTCATGTTTTGACAAAATGAATAATGTTATAGCTTGTTTTCCTGCGTAATTTGTAAGAAAGTTAGACAGTTATACTAAAAAACAGAACGAGAAAAATTCAATAAATTTTAGACATTTTTGTTTCCTTTTTAAACGAAAATAATTAAAAGATAATAAAAAAAAACTCGTTTTGAAGACATAAAACGCAAGAAATTGACGGATCAAATTTTGCATCTTACGCTGACATCTGTCCCAGCATTGATGTGTTTTTATCTCTGTTAAAATCAGAATTCACAATAGCTAACCCTTATGTGCGCCGAAGCAATGTTAAAAATCAATACATCCGTTACTTAGGTTATATTAACTTACTATTCATTACAATTTTCTTGTCTTCTATGTAACTGGAGAAGGCATTTTCGACGTCCACTCTATTTGTATATACGTAAAACGACCAGGCTATCGAGCAGGTGGGAGATCAGTCGTTTTACATAGGTTATCGTTATCGAATTGTTCATCGGGCGAGGTTTTTGTTTCTCAGGGTGTCTTTCAAACATTTTATCTGGAGGAAGGGGGCATTAAATCGTGCGAATGGGGATTGGAACAGTGTTTTTTTTTTCAGACTTTTTTCTCCGGGATGGATGGGGGGGGGGGGCACTTGTAAAAACATTTATTTCGTTCGGGGGGGGGGGGAGAGGGGGGGTGCGTACGGTAAACTTTCTTCGGGAGAGCTGAGGAGCTGAGCCCTCTGATGAGATGCCTGGAAACAACTCTGGAGGGTGAGGTGCACTTAAAATTAATGTGAATTTTTCATTTCGTCCACGGTGGGGGGGAGGGGGGATCGGGAGTGGGGAGGGTGACAGTAGGTGCTTTGGGGAAGAGGGTTTGCGGGCATTGCCCCCCCCCCCCCCACCCCCTAGAGTTGTAAAAAACTGATTTCACTATCATTTTGATGATAGGGTAGTTGTTTATAATGTTTTCCTATTGTTTCACAGTGGCCCGTACCAGTTTTATGTGATCGTGCTTGTTTTCTTTTTATGCCTATGTTTTGCATTTGGCTATTTTTAATGTTTGGTGGAGTAGTTTTTGACCCATCGAGCTCCCGCGTTTCTTTCCTTTAACACACATAGTTCTTTAAAGCTGCTTTCGATATGGATACTGAATGAATCATGCAGTTAGCATGTTTTATTTTTAAAATAACGGTTTTTGTGGGATAAAATTTTAATGTATGTCTTTGCGAAAGACAGATTTAGTATTCATATAAAAATGAAAACAGTCTAACACTAGACGGGTTATGTGGTCTGTTACAAACGTGACAGTGCGTGTTTTATAATTTGTGTAGGTGTAAATACATTTTGTGTAAATAGGTTCTCGTGATTCTTTATTGTTTTGATAAGTATTTGGAGAGTGTAAATTGATTACAGTTTAATCTCTTTACCTACATATCGATGTTTGACTCATGTTTGACTCATGTTTTGGTAAGCATATTTTTTTCTAAATTTTTAATTTCCCATTGATTCAGTATAATCTAAATCATTATCTGTGAAGAAATATATTTGTTTTTGTACAGAGTCCATAAGTATGGAAGAAATTCACAAAGAAAATCGGTGATTTTTTTTATTAACCCACACTGCATACGTTGGAACGAAAATAGCCGTAATCACTGATGCAGGTAATTTACAATTTTTAAAAATAAACAAAGAACTTGTACAGGGTTCTTTCTTACATACTTTAACTCTCACTGTCTCTAAATATCCATCTCTCTCGTACACGATCATAACCATCTTTTTCTCAATAGCCAAGCAGACTAGATAAGAGTTGAGAATCGATCATACAGTACAATGTACAACAATCACTTTTTGTATGGGTACAGTCAAACTAATTTAAAAAAACAAAAGATTGATTTAAATATATGCTTTATTAAAGGGAAACAAACGAATTATTTGAAACAATAAATCCTTTTAGAGATTTATGTTGACCAAATCTTATACCTGTGATGGTTTTTAGCGCAATTTCCATACTGGAATTGCGATTATTAATTCGTCATTTCTGGATGTGTGTCCGCAACTTTACCGCAGCTTTAAGTCGTATCTCCTCCTCAACGAAGCAATATCAAGGACTAGTTCCAAAAGCAAATATGTTAAGCAAGTTCCGAGGATGATTGTGGGCCAAACAATTCCCGGAATTCCTTCTTGAATTTCCCGGAAAAGCCAAAAAAACTCGAAAAAATGCCGTTTTTGGCCCATATCTCGGCAACCAGACCACTTAGCGACTTGAAACATTTACCAATCGATTTCTGCCATAATTTATAACAATATTGCCGAAGAAAGTTTTCAAAAATATCCTTTCGTTCGGTCACAATTTTTTTTTAAATTACATTATACATAATACACTACAGTACTATATAGCAATATAGAGAGCGCGACAACTAAATACCCCTACACGTCCGCAAATTTTTTTTAAAATCTCGTTAATAAATATTTTTTCTATTTTGTTTTGAATTATTAAAACTACTTGTGTTGCATTATTTATTTGCTGAATATATGATTTATCTCGATTTAAAATTGTTATTTATAACATACGGAAATTGCGCTTAAATTGTCACTAGACTTTTTATTAACTTTTTTTTTAGTATAACCTTTCTCTGTACTGTTTTAAATGCCAAGTAAAAGCAAAGTGAAATAAAAAAAACTGTCGACATAACCTAATCTAAAAATAGGATCAAAACCGTTACTTAAAAAATAAAATAAAAGTTACTAGGTAGACAAAGTAAGCGCAGAAGTTTGGCTTGAGGTAACTTAGCAGCACACAAACGGTCCAATGTGAACCTCTCACTCAGCGTAAAGAACCAATCAGAGGATTTTAAAATATTGGCTTTCCCCGCCAACCGTAGGTCTCGGTATTCGCATCATGTGATTGATCGGATACACGGCGAATTGTTCTTTTTTTTCCTTTTATCTTTTGGTGGTTGCGACATCCAATTCCGAATTAGGTCATAGGATGTGGAAAAAACATAACAAACAGCCGCTGAATACCTTTCGTGTGGTGGGGGATGGGGGTGGGGTGGGGGTTGGAATCGTCACACATACCCGATTACTTAAGAGCTTTGATAATCTCTAAAAGAAAAACTTGGGAATGAGGAGGGGGTTTGCGAAAATTTAAGATTGTTTTTTATTTTCCTGATGCACCTCCCCTGCCACCACCCCCCCCCTTCTACCTCCCCACTCCCCACAAACAAAGATCAACTCATACTGTAAAAACACTGGTTTGAATAAAAAAATTAAGTGCTAACACCTATCTTTATTGGGCTTACTTGGATTTGTAAGAATTATTTACAGTGTCTACCAACCCACCCCTTCCAACCCCACCCCCACTACTCCGATTAAGTGGCATAGACTCCAATTTCAGCCTGTTTTTCTTTTTGGATTTGCTTCCATAGCCTTTGTCCAATCAAGAACAAACTACAAGAAAGCAGCTGTTTGATTTTGGAGTTGTCTCTCCTAGAAGAGTGGCTGTTCCTTGCTATCAAGCCACATCTGCCCTAGAGTTCGAACTCGAGACTTTTTGGTTAAGCAACCATGAGCTTTACCGACTCGACCACGCCGACTTAAAAATTGGTGGGCAATTCTTTTTTCTGCGAGATTCTATTCTATTTGTAAAAGTTTAAGTAATTAAAAATGGATTAGAAATATTATCTATATCCCGAGTTGCCATCCCCCGTAGTGTTAAATAAGAATACTCGAGAAAGTTTAGGGGAGATCACTCCCGGTTTATTTATTTTGGTTTCGCACAATTAATATTTAAAATAATTAAATAAGTCAGAAAATTGCTAACTTATGCTACAGTTAGACCACACCGTACTGTTTATGAATACGTTAGTCTAACCCCCCCCCCCCACCAGCGTGGTCGAGGAGTAGAGCAAGACAACTGAACACAAATTAGTGAGCTATGTTTAGTGCCTCCCTGTTTAAACACACCTATGATGAGCTTCTCACTCCATGATGTTTAGTAAGCGCCATTGCGATAACTACCATACACGAAGCAAAATCAAAATAAGCAAATGGTTGGAAAAATTAAATTTAATCGAGTCTCGCAAGGCTGTCAATTCTTCTTTCTTTTTCTTCGTTCTTAATTCTTGTGTTGGAAGGAATTCCCTCAAACGCAATAAAGTATCACGTGTAACTTTTTATGCGCCCTGTATGTCCTTGACTCCGATTTAAGCCTGATTTTTGTTTTGTATTTGCTTCCATAGCCTTTATCCAACAGGAACAAACTACAATGCATCAGTTGTTTGATTTTGGAGTTGTCTCTCCTAAAGATTTACTGCTGTCAGCTGTCAAGCCTCATTTGCGACCATAATCTTTACCGACTTGAACACGCCGATCCCCTGTCAAGTCACCAAACATTTTATTCACAAATTATATATCACAAAATGGGATGTTGAAGAGATGCCTGGAAGAAACTCTGCTTAGACATTTTTTGGGACAAAATACTACGTCCAGTAAGCTTTGTAGAAGTCATGATTAAAAATGTATTGTTTTAAGAATCAAAGTTGAGTAGATATGTTAGATTTGAAGAGTTGCTTCTTCAGAGTCGGAAAGGTTTGAAGTTTTCTATTGGTAGAAAAACAAACAGTATATTTGCTCACAGTTTCTCATGAGTTACAATACAATGATTATTAAGCTAAAATAAATATAAATAACCCATGACGTTTTGGTTAAAAAAACTAAGAAAATGATCACTCAGTGTATGTTTTTTGCATTTCTTTTTTATAAGGCATCAGCTTAAGAGGTAAGACATATCGGAATTTGTTGTGAGTAAATATTTCAGATATATATGTATGTGTGTGTCTGTGCATGTGTGCGTATGTGTGTGTGTGTGTGGTTTTGATGTATCTGGACTTAATGTGCTGATTATTGAAACTATCATTTTTTTATATTTACTCTGCTGTATTAAGTATGGCTTTCTAAATACATTTCACATCTTGACTGCTTTATTCAAGCCGCTACTGTTTCCAAGTCGCCTATATTCTCAGAAAACAAGCCGGCTACTGTGCCAAGTAGTTGCGTGAAAAGGCTGATAGGAAACTTGTAGTGAAAGGTAAAAAAAAAAAACATGTTTAAATACATCATAGGTATACTCGTAAATTGGTTTATAAATTATCGAATAGTTATTTTAAAAAGTTACCTCAACATAACCTGTTGCTGGATTAATGTCAAAAGCTGCAAAGGGGGGGGGGGGGGTGAGAGGGAGAGAAAGAACTGTATTATTTAACATACACACCTCCGCCTAGTTTCTGCAACATCATAGAGTTTTTTTATTTATTTTTGGTCGGGTAGGCAGACAAGCAGGTAGGCAGGCAGGCAGGTAAGTAGGTAGGTAGGTATGTAGGTAGGTGTCTTTTTCTGTCTTTTGTTCTTTCTTCTTCAGAAAATTTCAAAACCAACTCTCTAAATGTATTACTAATAAAATTGGAGATGAAATATAGTTAAAACAATTTACTAATTAGACAAATTCAAACATATAAGTTTTTAATTACGTATGGCTGGAGGTATTGTTGCTGCTGAAAAAGACAAAAACAAAAAAAAACATGAGATATAATCCGGCTTTATTAATGCTTACAGCAAAAACCTGCTTTTAAACACGGGAAAAATCTTTGCTTAATATTATATATATATATATATATATATATAGATATATATATATATATAGATATATATATATATATATATATATATATATATATATATATATATATATATATATGGGGGTCATCCATAAATGACGTCACGCTTTTTTGACGATTTTCACCTCCCCCCCTCCCCTCCGTCACACGTCGTCACAAAAAGCCAGACCCCCCCCCTAAAATGACGTCACACCTCAACCTACAACCCCCCTCAAAATTGCAGTTGAATTTTTTAAAAACATCGATATTTTTCAAAATCTTGTCTAAACTCTTACAATTTATTAAAACAGTTATCTAAAACGCGAAATAACGTCTAAAATTCGTTTTCTAACATTGCTTTTTTATAATGCAAAAATGTGACGTCGCAACATCTGACCCCCCCTCCCCCTCATCACACATCGTCACAAAATTACGGACCCCCCCTCCCCCCTACGAGTGTGACGTCATTTATGGATGACCCCTATATATATATATATATTTATTTATTTATTTATTTATATTTATATATATTTATATATATTTAAATATATAAATGTATATATATATATATATATATATATATATATATATATATATATATATATATATATATATATTTAAATATATATATATGTATATATATATATATATATTTATATATATATATATATATATATTTAAATATATATATATGTATATATATATATATATATATATATATATATATATATATATATATATATATATATACATATATATAATTATATATAATTAATTTATATGACGTAAATGGAAAATTTGTATTAGAAATCTTGCTGCCGTTAAATCGAGTTAGTACTTGTCAAACATCATTTATATGGACAGAATCAAAAATATGTAAAGTCGTTGTTTATTTGTGTGTTTTTTTATGTACCATAAGAGTGTTAGCAGTGCTTCAAAAGTGCTGCAGTTTAGTGCAAAGTAAAGTATTGTAAAGCTTTTTTTTCGAAAATTTACGTTTTTTTCAAAATATTACGTAATAGACTTCTGCGCTACCCGTGGTACTGAAAATTTACCTTGAGCGCAAATGTTGGCTGTAAATCATCAGGATAGCCACACATATGGCAAATTTTCCATAAGTCATCATGGTTAGATTGTTGTTCTGAAACGCAATAATAAATATATACTATAAGGTGTCATCCATTTATGAAATACAAATTTTTAAATGTAGACCCCTATCGAACGCGTTACCAAGTTACTTTTTAAATAACAACTATTGTGTACGTATGTAACTATGTTCATGTTCATGATCATGTTCACGTTCGTGATTAATCATAAACGCGTTATTTATAAAAATAAAATTCAATATTTGCGACTTTATTGTACACTAATATAACAAATACGACTTTCATTAATTAAAGAAGGTAGACTAAAAACAAGTTGATACAATAATGGTCGGTTTAAATGAATCTTATTAAATCAAAATTCCAGAAAGAAATAGTGAATTACCAGTGAAGGTAAAAGACGAGGTAACTTAGGCAAGTAGGTTGGTTTAAAAACCAAGTATATATTTTAAAATTTAATCTTCTCGGAGTCATCCATAAATTACCTTACGCTTTTTTGATGTTTTTTCACCTCCCCCCTCCCCTCCGTCACACGTCGTCACAAAAAGCCAGAACCCCCCCCCCCCCCTAACATGACGTCACACCCCAGGCTACAACCCCCATCAAAATTGCAGTTGAATTTTTCTTAAAACATCGATATTTTTCCAAAATCTCTTCTGACCTCTGTCAAAATAGAGTATTTTAATCAATTCCTATTGCAATTTATTAAAACAGTTTTCTAAAACGCGAAATAACGTCTAAAATTCATTTTCTAACATTGCTTTTTTATAATGCAAACGTGTGACGTCGCATCATCTGAACTCCCCCCCCTCCCCCTCATCACACACCGTCACAAAATTACGGACCCCCTCTCCCCCCTACGAGTGTGACGTCATTTATGGACGACCCCTTCAGACTAGTTCAGACCTCCGTATTTTGTTGTGATTAAATGGACATGTGGCGCAGTGCTTTTTGAACTACGAGAAACTATTGGTTGGTTGCGAAATCAAATTCGATACAATTCGATAAGATTGCGAAATTTTAATATTTTTATAGATCTTACTGTCTTTAAACAACAAGCCCAACTCAACAATAGGAAATGTATTTTTAATTCAAAGATTAGTAAGGACCTTTGTGAAATTTGTTTTTAACAACTTTGTTTTCCCAACCCCTGCCACCATCTTCTAACTAGACAAAACCCTGTTTGTGAGCTAAACTCCACCAAATATTGATCTTGCCTTTAAAGACTATAATGTTATTACATGCATTGATCTTAGTTATCGATGTTTGTTGCAACATAAAAACACAGCTGACGGATGATACAGATCAACGGAGCTTTCACCAACACAAGAGGGAGCGTGCGACTGATAGCCACTGCCAGAGCTGACCATTCTACCCCTTCAAAAATTGAAATCGCAAAGACAGGTGAACTATACTTCTCCTGCTCCTAGGATCCTAGGACCGCAAGATTTGAAAGGATTCCTCTGCATAGAAATGATATTACGTAGAACAATACTACTAAATTAAATAGAAAGATCACAAATATGATGCAGCATCGCTAGACATGATCAAAGGGAGTCCCCCAACACCCCCCCCCTCCTCCCCACCCCTGAAAAAAAGTCTACAGACTCGAACGAAATAAAATGTATATAGAAAATGTATACTTTTACCAGTGTCCGCCACACCACCCTCCCCCTCCCCCAACTCTAATTAACTAAAGGGTGAATTGAAAAAACCTTTAATTATGAGTTACTATAGCAGAGAAATTGCGCTGGGCTGCGCGCAGGTGGCGGTAGCACGACCGTTGTGTATACGTTTGATTAGTGTGGATATTCTTTTAGAACACCCAAATTGTATTTCGCAATACATATTAAGCGCTTTCTTTCTAGCGCAAACCTCATATGAATAATTAATAAATACAACATTAAACCAAACCTAAGTGAATAGCTTTCGTGCTAACATCGTTGTCAGGTTGATTTTATATCTATACTTGTTTCCCTCAACACATCGACAAAAAGTTTAGCTATTATATCCACTATTTGTGTAAGTTAACTCACCTAACATTTGAACTCTATTTACTCGTTTGTATGGAGCTAAACTCATAAACAAATTTATACATCATTGTTTCTGTAGCTTTTGCTCACCCAAAATATAATTTTAATCTACCCCATTTTTCTGAGCTTAATCATCTTAACATTTTATTATAAACATTTTTTTGCTGAGCAATAAATCGTACATAAAAAATCACATAAAATCGTACAGTATACATCCCTGCCTGTATAGCTTAACTCAACTAAAATAACCCTGTTGGTGGAGCTTAACGCTTCTAAAACTTTAACGGTGTAGATCCCTGCTTTTTGAGTTCAACTCATCTAAAACTATAACCGCATAGACCCCCGTTTATAGAGCTTAACTCATATAAACTATCCTGGGAGAGTGGGGGATGGGGCACTTGAAACTCTTAGAAATGGCCAGGGGGGGGGGGGGCGGACTAATTTTTTGTGGTGGGGGGGGGCGGACTAATTTTTTGTGGGGGGGGGGGGGGCTGGGAAGCGGACACGTTTAAACATATATTTTTTAATAAATACCATTTCTCGGAGAAAGGAAAAGGGCGGTAGTTGCGCTTCTTAGGGGCCCTTAAGAAATGCCTAAAAGAAACACTTCCCATGCGAATTGACGTAGGCAACGTTAACTATACACCGGTTTAAAAAGCATACCAGTTCTAGGTATAATTTCGTTTTTGCCTAATGTAAATCAATATTATTTCTAACCTTTAGATTTTATTTTGTTTTCCTGACTTCGGATAATATCGGAGACAAGGTTTTCTTTAATTTCGTATAACATGAGACAGGTACTCGTTTTAGCTGGGTAGACCTAATGGACATAACTTTATGTTTAAACGCTTTACTTATATTAAATTATTTAAAGTGTGTTGAAATGACCAGTGGTCAAATCAGCTTCTCGGCGGTTGTTTCCTGAGTCACATCTTGCACGCGTGCCAGAAGACAGACATCACGTGGTACAAAATTAACGAGGAGTATTGAACCAACCCTCCCAAAACTTACTCATCACTATGCCCAGCCGCCTTCACTTTCCCTAACATGAATTGGGTACCCATCAGAGCTGGGTGGACTTAGGGACGTTCCACTGACTTGATTCTGGATTCGAACCCGCTAAGCTACGCTGTCCTCGTCAATGGCGTGTAGCTCGCTAGATCTCTTCATAAAAGAAAGTATTTATTTGTATGCGTTTATTTAATTGCACATTGATATACTGTGGTATTCGGTTAGGTAAAAAAGTAAAGTTCCCTTTCAAACCTGACGGTCTATGGGGGCAAGTGAAGTTGAGTTCACTTGCTGTGACCTCGGCAATATGCCCAGCCGCCTTTACTTTCCCTAACATGAATTAGGTACCCATCAGAGTCGGGTGGACTCAGGGACGGTCTACTGACTTGAACCCGGATTCGAACTTGAGACTAACGGGTTAGCACTCCAGCTCTCTACCGCTAGACCACTCCGTCCCATATTCGGTTAGGACCCTTGAATAATATATTTCATAGTTGTATCCCTTTGTTTGTCCATTGAATATGTAGTGTGTCAACCTTATGTTTAGGAGAGGTTGTTACTGTAAACTAGACCTGCTCACTCAAATCTCCCTTTTAGCAAAACTTTTAGATGGATGTTCATTTCATATAACGTTACGTGATGTTCATTATTTGGTTTTTTAAATAACGGTTTTTATAGTACCAATTTTTAAAATTTTATTTCATGTGTACAGGGGTAAACTGGCTGTATCAGAGTTGTCCGAGAGTTTTGTTAGACAATTTTGTGCACAACGTTTTAGGTAGTTTTTATTTAGTTTTTTTTTTTTTTTTTTTTTTTTTTGTTGTTTTGTTAAAATGGTTTTGTGCATTATTTAATATTTAATTTGTGTACGTTCACATGCTCGATTATTGTTTTTTTTTAACACAACGTATTGAATCACTTTATTTAGCAAAACTCGAGAGAGCAGCTCATCTTTAAAATTTCCATGAGAAGTTGCGGACTCAGATAGAAGTATATATTTTTTAACATAAATTCTATTTTTTTTTTCTTCAGTTCGCCCGGGTAGGGGGGGGTGGGGTTGTTACCGAGGGGTAGGTAAGTTGAGGGGCTGTAGTAGGGCTTTAGGGAATGGGAAGTATGTGTAAATATTTTCTTTCGATTCTTTATTGTTTGACAAGAGATTGGGCAGTGTGAATTGATTACAGTTTAATCTTTATACCTACACACCTATAGTTAACTCAGCTTTTCTTTTTGTTCGTTCTTAATTGTGATGTTGAAAGTTGGGAGGGATTTTCTCCAACAATTAAAGATTTCGTGTCTACATGTTATACGACAAATGGGCCGTTGACTCCAAATGTTTTTCTTTTTGGATTTACTTCCATAGCTATTAACAACAATGAACAAGCTACAAGGCAGCAGTTGTTTGATTTTGGGGTTTTCTCTCCTAGATGAGTTGCTGTCCGCAGCTATTGCGTTACTCGAGTAAAAATACATCTGACTCCAATTGAATATCTGGTTTGCATTTGTAATTTAACAATTTTGCGAATTAACGCGAGCCTCATTAAATACATTTTGTAAGATTTATTTTTGTTGTAATTTTTTTTAATTATACGTTGATTCTGTATAATCTAAATCCTTATGTATGGAGAAATAGATTGGTTTTTGTAAAGAGTTCGTCAGTATGGAAGAAATTCACAAAGAAAATATATTATTTCTAGTGCGATAATCTATCATTTAACCCACACTACGTACGTTGAAACAAATATAGCCGTTGTCACTGATTTACATTTTTTATAAACAAGCAAATAATACTGAGCTCGTTCTGACACATTCCCTCTCTCGATCAATCTCTTAAAATCTATCGCTCCAATCTACGGTCATTAACGTCTTTTTATAATTTTTTTAAGTGTATCAAAGCTAAACAAATTGGAAAACAATAGATTGATCTAAACAGGTACTTTATTAAATGTAAAGAAACGTATTTTTCGAAAATATAAATTCTTTTAGAGATTTATGTTGACCAAATCTTACACCTGTTATTCTGTTTGAAATAAAATAATATGAAAATGGTATTGAAATTTCACTGTGTAAAGAAAGAATGATTAGATGTTTCTAATTTCAAGACATCTCAATAATAAAGTTGATCCTTCAGCGTTAGACTTGAAGTACTTCCTGTAGATAGTAAAACAAACACGATATTAGATGAATGTTTATTACAGGTTACAATAACTTTATAATCAAGCTAAGATTGTATTAAGCGCTAAGTAGGACGGCAACATGTATGGTAATACAAACATTGAATGAAATGTGTATATTCTCTCATATATATACAATATATTTATATATATATATATATATATATATATATATATATATATATATATATATATATATATATATATATATATATATATATACCTTTATATATATATATATATTTATATATATATATATATATAAATATATATATATATATAGAGAGAGAGAGAGAGAGAGAGACAGAGAGAGACAGAGAGAGAGAGAGAGATACTCGTAATGACGTTATGTTTGGAACTATAAAGCTGTTATGTAAAAGTATTTTTGTACACAAATATTTCCCCTGACTCTTTAAGGAAGTCTTTTATAATGCATATCACATCTTACCAGTATCTATCGGTATTACTTTCCAAGGCTGCCGGTCAAACCCCCAAAGGTCGTTAGCAAGGTGTTTAGTAAACCACTAAACAAGCCGATAGGAAGCTTTTAACGAAATGGAAAGAAAAAGGCATTAAATTGTATAAACGATTTACGTATACGTGTATTGGTAAATAATTGAATAGTTAGAAATATTGTTACCGTGATAAGTCCAGTAGCTTGATTGATGACTGGGCCTGTGGGGGTGGGGTGAGGTGGGGAGAGAATATAATTATATTCTGTTTCACATATTTAAGATAAGTTTCCAATTTATCAAAGATTACTTTTACTCTTGACCGTATATTTGTTATTTTAATACATAATATTCCACTTTAACAATAAAAGAAAGAAAAAGAAAAACAATTGTGGTTCTAAAATATTAACAATCATTTGATTTCTCTCCTCTCTCTCTTTCTCGCGCTTACACACACACAAACACACACACACACACACAAAACACACACTATCGCAGTCAATCTTTTTCTCTCCTATTTCTCTGCCTTGTTCTTTCCTAGTCTTTCCCTTTTTATCTCTTTCTTTCTCTTTTTTCTCTTTTCTTGTCTGTTTTAGTCGACCTAACTAATGCTTGAATAAGACAGTAACCCATAACATAACGAAGAAACAAAAATGTCTCTACATATTTTGCTAAATCTGTCTTCAAACAGATTGCATCTTTTTCTTCTTCTTCCCCCAGTACCCTGCAAAATACCAGCTGGAAGTGGATAGATTTCAATTTCAATACAGATTACCGTAATTGTGACGGTAAGGTCACAGCATCTAGTTTAGTCAAAATTAAATTTTAAAAAAGCACCAACTATCCAAATTAAATTGTTTCAAGAAATAAAATTACATATCTTAGTAGTTGCTATAATTTGCCTCTTAATTAGAAAAATTAAAGTATATAATTGTTTATTTACCTATCACTGGAGGAATCAATGGAGGAATTGTTGCCGCTGTAAAATTTTAATAAAAATATTATTAAACAATAGAATACAGGGATCATTTCATTTTTACAACTCTTAAACGCATAAAAAATAACGAGATATCAAAAGTGAATGTCTTTATTCAATATTAGCGCTTGGCGCCGAAGAAGTGTTTTGAACCAATGTTATCAATGTCGTTGATTCTAAGACTTGCTCTCACCTTCAGTGTAAGTCAGGCTGATTGTCAATACGACAGCCAAGAAAATTGTAACTTTTGTGAACGACATTTTCACGCTTTGATTTTTTTTCTGAAATTCGAAACAAACAAAAAAAAATCATTATAAAAAAGATTTTTTTACTAGAACTAGTATGAAGAAAACACAATAAGTGAAGCAATGAAAACGATTCGTGTAAACACGATAACTTGAGTACCGTGACAGCAAGGTTGATGAAATTTAGTATATAAGTATTTTATCAAAATCGTAGATCTGTATCAACTTTTGAGCGATTTCCGATAACCGGAAGTGGTCCTTTTTCTACTTTGAATTGTTCAAAAGCCTATAACTTGAGTACTATTTCAGATACATCAATGAAAGATCTATATCTCTACCTTCTGTCAAATTTGAGTAATTTTCGGTGACCGGAAGTACTAATTTACGCTATTTCCAATTTCTCAAAAAAGGCATGTAAATGTATAAAGTACTAATAATATTGCGCACTATTATGCACATTTTGTTTTGGCGTTCGCTTGGTGCGCAATTCTTTTTTCTATGAGATTCTATTCTATTTTTAAAAGTTTAAGTAATTAAAAATCATGTCTATATTCCAAGTTATATAAGAATATTCGACAAAGTTTAGGGGAGATCACTCCCGGTTTTTTTTTTTAACTTTAGCGATCTACACACCGTGTTAAGAAAATTCAATTCATGTGGATTTATCAAATCAGACATTGATATATCACATTCTCTGATAAAGGTTATCTTTAAACATGAACTTACTGTTGTATAGTTCTTCATGCAAGCATTAAAACCACATCAAACTAGATTGATCGGTATAGCTAAATCTCACTCAAGAAAAAAAAAATTGTGCAGAAAACAGCAGGTACTTACCAATTTGCGCAGAAGACAAGGTAAGTGTCAAAGGTTTGTTTTGGGGTAAATCAGTAGCAAAGTTACGGCCTTATATCTACCTTTCACAAGTTGAACAACCAATCAGATGATTTTAAAAGTTAGGCTTTCTCAACCAATCGCTGGTCTCCGTATTTGCATAAATGTGATTGATTGGATGCGTGGCCTATTTTTTTTTAGATACGAAAAACTATTGGTGAGATGCAGATATTTGGAGTGGGAAAATGAGGCCTACGGCCATGATACGTCGTGTTAGTGTGGTGGGGGTAGGAGACGGGGGTGGGGGGGGGGGGGGTTCTCGTCGATCATTAAACCTTTGATGTTCCTTAAACAACAAGGGGGTAGGGGGAGTGAGGGGTATATTACGAAATTTCCCTAACGTGGATGTTGAGAAAATTTAACAGTCTTTTTTTAGCGCCCCCATCCCCAACTGAACAACTTTTACTGTATGAGCCCTTGTTATAGGAGCTAAGATTATCTGAATGTTAACGGTAAACAACTCTATTTTTGGAAATCAGCTCTTCGAAGAAAAACAAAACCACTGTTTGCTGAGCTTAGCGTACCTAATATATTAACGGTATAGACACCTATTTGCGAGGGTCAGTTTACTTAAAACTTTAACTGTATAGACCCCTATTTGCGGGGGCATAGTTTACTTAAAACTTTAACTGTATAGACCCTTATTTGCGGGGGTCAGTTTACTCCAAACTTTAACTGTATAGACCCCCCATTTGCGGGGGTTAATTTACTTAAAACTTTAACTCTATAGACCCCTATTTGCGAGGGTCAGTTTACTTAAAACTTTAACTGTATAGACCCCTATTTGCGGGGGTTAATTTACTTAAAACTTTAACTGTATAGACCCCTATTTGCGGGGTTAGTTTACTAAAAACTTTAACTGTATAGACCCCTATTAGCGGGGGTTAGTTTACTCCAAACTTTAACTGTATAGACCCCTATTTGCGGGGGTAAGTTTACTTAAAACTTCAACTGTATAGACCCCCATTTGCGGGGGTAAGTTTACTTAAAACTTTAACTGTATAGACCCTTATTAGCGGGGGTCAGTTTACTTCAAACTTTAACTGTATAGACCCCCCCATTTGCGGGGGTTAATTTACTTAAAACTTTAACTGTATAGACCCCTATTTGCGGGGGTAAGTTTACTTAAAACTTTAACTGTATAGACCCCTATTTGCGGGGTTAGTTTACTTAAAACTTTAACTGTAGAGACCCCTATTAGCGGGGGTTAGTTTACTTAAAACTTTAACTGTATAGACCCCTATTTGCGGGGGTAAGTTTACTTAAAACTTTAACTGTATAGACCCCTATTAGCGGGGGTCAGTTTACTTCAAACTTTAACTGTATAGACCCCCATTAGCGGGGGTTAATTTATTTAAAACTTTAACTGTATAGACCCCTATTTGCGGGGGTTAATTTATTTAAAACTTTGACTGTAAAGACCCCTATTTGCGGGAGTTAGTTTACTTAAAACTTTAACTGTATAGACCCCCCATTTGCGGGGTTCAGTTTACATAAAACTTTAACTGTAAAGACCCCTATTTGCGGGGTTAGTTTACTTAAAACTTTAACTGTATAGACCCCTATTTGCGGGGTTCAGTTTACTTAAAACTTTAACTGTATAGACCCCTATTTGCGGGGGTAAGTTTACTTAAAACTTTAACTGTATAGACCCCTATTTGCGGGGGTTAATTTACTTAAAACTTTATTTGTAAAGACCCCTTATTTGCGGGGGTTAATTTATTTAAAACTTTAACTGTATAGACCCCTATTTTCGGGGGTCAGTTTACTTAAAACTTTAACTGTATAGACCTCTGTTAGCGGAGCTAAGTTTACTTAAAACTGTATAGACCTTGGTTGCGATGCTTATTTTACTTAAAACTAACTTTTAAGACCTCTTTTTATCAAGCTTAGCTACGTAAAACTTTAACTGTAATGACCCCTGTTTATGGAGCGTATTTTACTTAAAACTTCAACTACAAAGCGCATCTGATTATGGAGCTTACTTTACTTAAAACTCTAACTGTTAAGACCCCTCTTTATAGAGATTAGCTACCTAAAACTCTAACTGATTAAAACACAAATGAGCTTATGTCTGCCAAATATAACTATAGCAACCATTATTTCAAGAGCATATTCACCTTAACATTTTAATATTAACATTCTTTGCTGAGCTACGTTAACGTAAAATCTAACTGTATAGATCCCTGTTGGTGGAGCTTAACTCATCTAAAACTATAACCGCATAGACCCCAGTCTATAGAGCTTAACTCATATAAACTATAACTTTTTAGACCACTGTTTGCGGAGTTTAGCGACTGATCTCGCAACTAGTTTTTAATTAGTTATTGATTTTTAGGTTTTTACGATTTGTATCAAGACAAAAACGCAGCTGGTGGATCATACAACGACTTTTGGTATATGCGAACTTAGGGGAGTGGGGGGGGGGGTGGAGTAGGGGAAGGGGGATAATTCCTCTCATCCCCTTATATTTTATTTCAATAGCGAAGAAGAAATGAATATTGTTTCTTGCTTTGTTTTTGTTGTTTTGTTGTTATTTGATTTGAATTAAAAACGTTGGTATATATTTACAATGTCATAGCCTTTCTAGACTAAACATTATGTTTTTCTCTTTGTGTCCAAGACACATGTGGCAGATGAAGTAGAATTCATCTGTTTCAATTAACTCGTAATACGAGAGGATAATGTGGTCAGCTATATGCCCAGCCGCCTTTGTTTCACTAACGTTAGTTAGGTAGGCCTACCCATCAGAGCTGGGCGGACTCAGGGACGTTCTATTCACTTAAACCCCGATTCGAACTGGAGACTTTCGTGTTAGCAATCTAGCGCTCTACTGCTAGGCCACGTCGTCCCTACTTTGTAGACTAATATGTGTGTAGAAATCTTCAACTTAAGCCCTTTTATTGAGGTCATATATAAAGTTTCTCAATTAGTCCATGTTAATTGTACATTATACACGATTCAATCTCAATGGGAATAAAGAAAAATAAAATCATGTCTGAGTCCCCAAAGCAATTGTCATATTCCAAATTGGTTAAAACTGCAAAATATTTTTAAAATATACTCTCGACTGTATGAAAGAAAACAATAGTTTCTTCTGTTGTGGTACAATAAAAAGACTATAACAAAACTGGGTCTAAATCAGAAGAAATATGGAAACATAACATCTAGAAAATATGGTTTCAGTCTCTCTCTACAAAGTACATTTATTCCAGCCTAAAGCAATGTATTAGATTGAGAATACACAAATATAATAATATATAAGAAAGCATACCTAAAAAAGTGCTTAGGGCTGTACACGTTTTTTATGTATTATTTATCCCAAAGATTTTAGATATTCAAAAAGTTTGAATTTTTTTTTATTCAAACTCGTATTACGTTTTCTATATGATGTTCGTAGTTTTAATTAAACAAAATTATCAGATCTGATCTGCAATCATACAATTATTTTGTCCAAAAAAAAAAATCTATTATAATTTAGCTTTTATCCCATATGGTTAAGGTTGGTCTTTATAAAACTTAAAAATATGTGTATGGAGCGTTCGACTGCTGTTTCAAATAAGCCCTTTGTTGTTTTACAGAACAAAGAAAAACAAAGCCTAAATTCTGAATGCTTCAATAAACATGAAGCTATTTACTTGACTTGTATTAAAATTAATCATTAAAAGAAAGATAAAAATGTTTTTCCAGTTCGCCCAGATCGACTGAAAATTTTATGGTTAGGCAACACTTGTCGCTAAGGTAATGTTATGGTCCACATGACAAGTGTTTCTTTCAGACTTTTTTCTCTGAGGGGGGTTGGGGGGAGGGTGGCAGTGCATCCCCCTTCCCCCCCCCCCCCCCCCCCGAAATGATGCCTGAAAGCAACACTCCCCATTCGAATCGGCGCACATTTTAAAAAGCATACCAGTTCTGGGAATAATTTTGAAATGGTCTAGAGTAAATCAATATTATATCTAACCTTTCCATTTTGTTTTGTTTTCCTGACCTCAGCCAATATCGGGGACAAGTTTATCTTTACTTTCTAATAACATGAGACAGGTACTCGTTTTAGCCGGGTAGACTCAAGGTCGTCCAATCGATTAGTTCACCTAATGGACAAAATTTATGGTTTAAACGCTTTATTTATACAAAATTATGTTAATCATGGCCTGTCCATTTCAAGGAAGAAAAGGGGAAAATTCAGACAAACGTCAAAAAACAATTTCGATATGAGAACAAAAGAGCAGCTTCCCCTTCAGTTATTTTATTGTCGACAGGTGCATCAGTCCGATCGTTGAATTAAAATAGAAGACCATCGAGTCGAAGTTTTAAAACTTTGAAATTTAATAATTATCACAATATTATGGACGAAATACAACCCAAAACGATAGAAACATTTTATTTAGTAGATCGAAAAATCAATACTAAATACGAAATAGTATTCGTGCACGTGCATTATAAGAAAGAGTTGTTTTACAGAGGCGAGCGGTTGCTGGTGGTCACAGTGGAGCTTTGGTTTATCTCCCCAGGCTGTCAGTTGTTTCTCTTAAAATGACCAGTGGTCAAATTGACTGTTTAGCTGTTCTATCCGTGAGGCACGTCTCACACACGTGACAGAAGAACTGCATCACGTGGTGCAACCTTAACGAAGAGTACTGAACCTTCCCCCCCCCCCCCCCCTTCTGAAACTTAGCTGTCTATGGCGTGTAAAAGTAAACAGTCAAGATTTTTTTTCTTTACACCAATTTATCCAATGGGTAGATGAAGTAGAGTTCATGTTTCCTGACCCCGGCATATGAAGGACTAATATTGGTCAACACTATGTCCAGCCGCATTAACTTTCCCTACCGTGATTTAGGTACCCATCAGAGCTGGGTGGACTCGGGGATGTTCCACTGATTTGAAATCGGATTCTAGGTCACCAACTAGGCCGCGCCATTCTCGTCTCAGGCTTACGGTCCGGGAGATTTCTTCATAAAAGAAGGTATTTATTTGTATTTGTTTATTCAATTGCACCTTATTTTTCAGTGGTCTATGTAGACCCCTCGCAAAAATTGGGCATCAGGCCTAGCAGATTATTGTTTTGTTATTTTTTTTATCTCTTAATCTTCTCATATTTTTCAGAACCAGCGTTGGAACTCTTAGAAAGAGTTTTAGTCTTGACATTTGTCTTGCCCGCTTGTAGACGTGGGAGTAGGGTGGGAACGTCTACATACGCCACGTCGTTGTATCCCGCCCGTTTTAAGTTATTGTTTTCTCGCATTGATTGATGCAAAATATTTTAATATATTCCTCTTCGTTTTTACCTGTTTCATTATTTTCATTACCTCATTGGGACTGCGTTGTTTTTGGCAAGATCACAAACGTCAAAAGCCCCGAGTTCGAACCCAAGAAAAATTTGGGAAAGTTATCTTGGGAAAGCAAATTATCTAGTAGAATAAATTTCTAACTCAAACTGCTGCCTTGTAATTTGTTCTTGGTTGGACAGAAAAAAATTACTGAAATCGAAGGCAACGGCCTAGATCAGGGGTCGGCAACCTGCGGCTCGCGAGCCGCATGCGGCTCTTTTAATGGCAAGATGCTGCTCTCCAGCTCCTCGCACAAATACTAATAACCGTAACAAAAAAATTAAATATTTGAAATAAAAAAATGTCAGTGGCTCTTTAAAACCAGGGAAATTTTGAAAATTGTAACTTTTGGCTCTTCCGCTTCAAAAGGTTGCCGACCCCTGGCCTACATGGGGCATAACATGTTGACTCGTAATACTGTGTGTGGGGATCTTTATGAAAGTTGTGTACGTGGGACAGATCACGGTAGTGGTGTGCAAGGCCCGGTGTGTTGATGTGTATGTTGTTGTATGGGGTGAACGAGGGTAACAAGGGAAGCGACTGGTCGAGTGACAGCGTTGTAGTGATGACGTGTATGTTGTTGTATAGGGTGAACGACGGTAAAAAGGGAAGCGACTGGTCGAGTGACAGCGTTGTAGTGATGACGTGTATGTTGTTGTATGGGGTGAACGAGGGTAACAAGGGAAGCGACTGGTCGAGTGACAGCGTTGTAGTGATGACGTGTATCTTGGTGTATGGGGTGAACGAGGGTAACAAGGGAAGCGACTCGTCGAGTGACAGCGTTGTGATGACGTGTATGTTGTTGTATAGGGTGAACGAGGGTAACAAGGGAAGCGACTCGTCGAGTGACAGCGTTGTGATGACGTGTATGTTGTTGTATGGGGTGAACGAGGGTAAGAAGGGAAGCGACTGGTCGAGTGACAGCGTTGTGATGACGTGTATGTTATTGTATAGGGTGAACGACGGTAACAAGGGAAGCGACTGGTCGAGTGACAGCGTTGTGATGACGTGTATGTTGTTGTATAGGGTGAACGAGGGTAACAAGGGAAGCGACTGGTGGAGTGACAGCGTTGTGATGACGTGTATGTTGTTGTATAGGGTGAACGAGGGTAACAAGGGAAGCGACTGGTCGAGTGACAGCGTTGTAGTGATGACGTGTATGTTGTTGTATAGGGTGAACGACGGTAACAAGGGAAGCGACTGGTCGAGTGACAGCGTTGTAGTGATGACGTGTATGTTGTTGTATGGGGTGAACGAGGGTAACAAGGGAAGCGACTCGTCGAGTGACAGCGTTGTGATGACGTGTATGTTGTTGTATAGGGTGAACGACGGTAACAAGGGAAGCGACTGGTCGAGTGACAGCGTTGTGATGACGTGTATGTTATTGTATAGGGTGAACGACGGTAACAAGGGAAGCGACTGGTCGAGTGACAGCGTTGTGATGACGTGTATGTTGTTGTATAGGGTGAACGACGGTAACAAGGGAAGCGACTGGTCGAGTGACAGCGTTGTAGTGATGACGTGTATGTTGTTGTATAGGGTGAACGACGGTAACAAGGGAAGCGACTGGTCGAGTGACAGCGTTGTAGTGATGACGTGTATGTTGTTGTATGGGGTGAACGACGGTAACAAGGGAAGCGACTGGTCGAGTGACAGCGTTGTGATGACGTGTATGTTGTTGTATAGGGTGAACGACGGTAACAAGGGAAGCGACTGGTCTAGTGACAGCGTTGTAGTGATGACGTGTATGTTGTTGTATGGGGTGAACGAGGGTAAGAAGGGAAGCGACTGGTCGAGTGACAGCGTTGTGATGACGTGTATGTTGTTGTATGGGGTGAACGAGGGTAACAAGGGAAGCGACTGGTCGAGTGACAGCGTTGTAGTGATGACGTGTATGTTGTTGTATAGGGTGAACGACGGTAACAAGGGAAGCGACTGGTCGAGTGACAGCGTCGTAGTGATGACGTGTATGTTGTTGTATGGGGTGAACGACGGTAACAAGGGAAGCGACTGGTCGAGTGACAGCGTCGTAGTGATGACGTGTATGTTGTTGTATGGGGTGAACGACGGTAACAAGGGAAGCGACTGGTCGAGTGACAGCGTTGTAGTGATGACGTGTATGTTGTTGTATAGGGTGAACGACGGTAACAAGGGAAGCGACTGGTCTAGTGACAGCGTTGTAGTGATGACGTGTATGTTGTTGTATGGGGTGAACGACGGTAACAAGGGAAGCGACTGGTCGAGTGACAGCGTTGTAGTGATGACGTGTATGTTGTTGTATGGGGTGAACGACGGTAACAAGGGAAGCGACTGGTCGAGTGACAGCGTTGTAGTGATGACGTGTATGTTGTTGTATGGGGTGAACGAGGGTAAGAAGGGAAGCGACTGGTCGAGTGACAGCGTTGTCGTGATGACGTGTATGTTGTTGTATAGGGTGAACGACGGTAACAAGGGAAGCGACTGGTCGAGTGACAGCGTTGTAGTGATGACGTGTATGTTGTTGTATAGGGTGAACGACGGTAACAAGGGAAGCGACTGGTCGAGTGACAGAAGGGTGTGTTGTGAGCGGTAGAAAGGAGATGTGTAGGGATGATGCGGAGGACAGTTGGAGGTGACGGTTGGTTGTAAGGAGGACAAGATAAACAGATATTGAACCTACTTTGTTACATTAACCCTCAAAGAGTTATGTTGGTTTGTCCTTATACCTATGTCGTACGACATTCATTACGTCCTTGCTCCGTGTTAGGGATAATACAACTACAATTACGAACGTAGAAAATTTAATACATTTAATTCTATTGGAGGGAATCTCAAATATATCAATAAAAACCTTGTGCTATCGGTTTCTAATAAGACTTTATTACGTTATGTCTTGTTGGTTATTGTTACGTCCCTTTGTATTATACATTTCAAAGTCATATCCCTTTGATTGTCCCTTGAATGTGTAGTGTGTCAGCTTGTATGTTAGTGTGTTAGTGTGTACTAGACTAGCTCACTCATATCTTCCTTGTAACACAACTGCTTTAACTGTGTATTTTCATTTCATACAATGTTCTGTTATGTTCATAATTTATTTTTAAAATAACGGTTTTTGTAATACTATTTTTTTTAAAGGGCCCCTGAACCCCACATTTTCAACAATTTATTTTTTAAAACTATAATATGAATATTACAGCACCGTTACTTAGCGCCTACCGGGATTTTTAAAGACCACAACCGCATATGTACGTAGAAAATATATCATAAGAAAAGCGGTGTTCTAAGGAAAAAGTTCAGTAACTCAGAATTCTGGGTGTGTCACAAACTTCACATTTTGTGTTAATCAATTTGTGTACACAACTTTTTTTAAAGGTTGTTGTGCATCTATATATATAATTCTCTTCATCAAGACCATAGAAAACACCACGCAGCTTAGCCACCACCCTCATCCCCGCCTGTCGGGTGAGCTGTGGTTCACGCTAAATGTTTACAATCGTAGAGCCGGGTTAGTGACGGCTATTAGGGGCAGATAATTTAGTATTAAACTATTTGAAACGGTAGGGAGGTAACAATTTCTGATAGATCTTTTCTTTGTCTGTAAACGGTCGCTTTCACTGGGCGGGAGAGGGGGGGGCGGAGGGGGGGGGGGGGTAGTCTTAAATTCACAAATTATGAATTGCTGATAAGCAGAAAATAAAAATAAAACAACTAGATGGCGGTGTATACTACGTCGTATTTAATATTGAATTTCTGTACAAACATGATAGATTATTTTTGTTTTTTAAACACGATGTATTTGACTAGCCGCACGTCTGGAACATTTTATTTTGCAAAACTAGAGTTAGCATGCAGCTCATCCAAGATATGGGGTGAATCACGGACGCCCTGGGGTCGGCATGGTAGCGTCGTTAAAGGTAGTGGTTGTTTGTCAATCTGTTATTTCAGATTGCTTTTGTTTTTCTTTCTTTTTTCCAAAAACGACTACAGTTGTCGCTCCTAGAGTGGCTGTCTCCAGATATAGAGCCTCATCTGCACGAGGGATCAAACTCGAGACTTTTCGGTTTAGCGACCGCCAGCTTTACCGACTCGACCACGCCGACCCCTGTGATGATAATGATAATACACACAAGGGGTAACCACGAGTAAATTTGATTCATATTAAAGAAATATACACGTGCAATACATACAGAAATATACACCACAGTCACAGTTCATGTGTACTCATGCAATATAACAAAACAAAAAGTTGATCTGAATAGATACTTTACTGAATGTAAATGAATAAAATATACGACATTTTAATATCTTTCCGAGATCTTTTTTTTTTTTTAGGGTTACAAAGACGAGCAATAGTACTTTTTAAAAATATTTAGAATAAGTCATTGAAATTTCACTGTGTAAGGAAAGTGTGGGTTGATATTTCAGATTTGAAGAAATCACAAACGTTGAGTTGGTTCTTCATAGTCAGACCGACTTGAAGTTTACTGCTGAAAGTAAAACAATCAATTTTTACATTACGTTTATAATCAAGCTATGGTTATAATTAGAGCTAGTTTAGACCGAATAGTGTAAGATATCATTCAGCTAAATATAGACAAATGTGTACATCTGTCATATTTTACAATTGTGTAAAATATTCAATACATGTAAATGTGAATAAATGATGATATAAAAATTAAAAAAAAAAACTTTTCCTAGGAGCATTATCAGCTCAATTTTTGCTTTCGTGTATTGAAATACCACGACGATTTTTAATTAATGTGTGGCGGATGTATAGTATTGATGGGTGATGTTGATGTGGAGTAGAGGTATAAGGTTGATGTGTGGTGGATCTATGGTATTTACATGTTCAGATATATGGTGATGGTGCAGAACCAAAGTGTTTATCTATTTTATATATATATATATATATATATATATATATATATATATATATATATATATATATATATATATATATATATATATATATATATATATATATATATATAATTTATTTAAATATATATATATATATATATATATATATATATATATATATATATATATAATTATCTAATCATTAATATAATGATATAAATATGGTAGGTGTAAATATATTTTATATATATATATATATATATATATATATATATATATATATATATATATATATATATATATATAATGTTGATATATCTGGATCTAATGTGCTTATAAGTGACATTATATTTTAAATCAAATATTCTCTACAGATTTCAGTGTGTATATTACAATACGTATCTTGTTTCAATAATTACCTGTTTTATGCATTACTACTTCCCCAAGCCACCAAACAGGTTGGTAAATGCCTTTAGTAGCTGCGAGATTAAGTTCAATTGAGCCTTGTAAGATAAAGAAAAAAAAACATTTTATTACTTATAATAGGAATAGGCGTTTATTTATTTGTTAATTAGCCATAATTAGAAACAATGTTACCGTGAAAAGGCTTGTAGCTTGATTGATGACAGAAGCTGTTTGGTATGGGGCATGGGAGGGTGATAAGAAAAAAAAATTAATTAATGATCACATATTTAAGCAAAGTTTACAATTTACAACATTGGACTTTGTGGCCTAAGTGGTAGAGCGATAGGCTTCTAGATCGAGTCTCAAGTTCGAATCCGAGTTCACCCAGATGGCTAATGGCTGGGCTAAGTGTTGACAACACCTTCCCTTTATATTCCGCAGTCAAGAGAGATAGCAACTCTACTACATCTGCCTCAATCTTTCTCTTCTAGTCTTTCTTTTCTTCTTCCTTGTACAGCTTTAGCAGTATTCTTAAACCAGGCAACCCGCAAAATGATATAGAATTGAGACATTTCAATAAAAATCTTGGCAAAGATGTCTTTCGTCAGATTTTTATCCCCCCCCCCCCCCACTCTCCCAGGTAACCTGCCACTCTGATTTAGGTACGTATATGTATAGACACCTTCCATTTTTCAAGCCCGGATAACGTTAGACCGCACAGTTTACCTTAGTCAAAAACATAATACATCAACTACCTAAAACAAATAAAATAGTTTAATGAAATAAAATCTAAAAATCTAATTTATTAGCTTCCATAATAAAGCCTGTTAATTATTCAAATTTAGGTATATAATTTTTTTAATTACGTATCACCGGAGCGGTTGTTGTTGTTGATGTTGTTGTTGATGTTGTTGATGTTGTTGCAGCTGCTTGTGCTAAAAAATAGAAAAACAAAAAACAAATTGGCAAACAGGAGCTTTACTGTACATTAGTATACATACATTAATAACGTTCTCCTTAGAAATACTCTATCGAGTGGGGATAAATCTTATAAACATATATATATATATATATATATATATATATATTAATAAAGATATGGTGTTTGAAATACAGTGTGTCCAATGGCTTTTTTAACTTAGTGAGTCAGTAGCTCCATATTTTGCTTTTGGACAAAACTCGAACATTCTCATTTTTGTGGTATTTATGTGATCAAATATGTTATAAATTCACTTCTGCTCTGTTTTTTAAATGGATTTAATCCCATCCACCCTCACTCTCCAAGGAGAAAAATGACTGAAAGAAACACTGATTCTACTTAGTACACAGATTAGCATCTAAAAAAAATGTTTTAGTGTTAGTGTTTTAGTGTCTTAGTGTTTTAATAGCAAGGTTCGAATGTATAAACAATTTTAAAAATTCAAGATTTTTTTTTAAAGTGTTGGGCGCTTAAGAAAAATATTCAATACACATGAATCATTTAATTAATTTAATAACTTTAACTAACCGTCAGCGTAACTTATGCTGAAAATCAACAAAGCGGCCAGAAATAGAGCAAGTTTTCCAAAAGACATGTTCACGGTTGGGTTATTTTCTTCTGAAACTGAAACTCAATAATGAATAATTATAACACATTCTTTTTTTATGAAAACAAAAACGTAAACATAGGCCTGCATGATTTACTCTATAGACTCATAGAGCTTCGTAAAATTAATTAAAATTAAAACTTATTACACAGGTATTTAAAAAAGAATTTGAAGAATAGGTATTACCATTGACCGAAAAAGACTTTTCAGAAAATAGGTGTATTAGTAGCATTGTAAACATGTTAAAGGATCCAAAAACAGAGTAATGGGTTGGTGCAAGGCTTAGCGTTAACATTATGTTTGTATTTATCTAACAATCAGTGATCAATAAAAATTTGTTATCGGATACTCAAATAATACATTCCCTGAAAACAAAAATAAACAGTAAACTTTCCGTGTACTGTGTTGAAAACAAAATAAAAATCAAAGTAAAATAAAAATTGTCGACATAACCTAGTCTCAGTCAAAAAAAATTTTATTAAAAAATAAAAAAAAACAGCCATGACTTACAAGCGATGGAAGGTTGGCTTGAGGTAACTTATCAGTATACAAACGGCCTGTTATATACATTTCACTAAAAGTCAACAACCAATCAGATGATTTTAAAATTTTGGCTTTCTCAGCCAATCGCAGGTCTTGGTGATTGCATAATGTGATTGATTGGATACGTGGCAAATTGTGTTTTGGTGAGTTGCGACATTTAATACCAAATTTGGTCGTAGGACGTGGTAAAACATGACCAACAGCCGCTTATTGCCTTTGGGGGGAGGGGGGTAGGGGGTGATGGGCTACCGCCGCAAATGCCAGATCATTTTAGTGCTTTGATATTCTCTAACAAAAACTTGGAGGTGAGGGGGGGGGGGGGGGAGTTTACGGGAATTTAATGATTTTGTTATTTCTTCCTGGTTTTTCACACACCCCCTCCACTCACCTCTACCCTCAACGATCAGCTTATACCATGTATCATGTATCATGTATCATGTATCATGTATCATGTATCATGTATCATGTATCATGTATCATGTATCATGTATCATGTATCATGTATCATGTATCATGTATCATGTATCATGTATCATGTATCATGTATCATGTATCATGTATCATGTATCATGTATCATGTATCATGTATCATGTATCATGTATCATGTATCATGTATCATGTATCATGTATCATGTATCATGTATCATGTATCATGTATCATGTATCATGTATCATGTATCATGTATCATGTATCATGTATCATGTATCATGTATCATGTATCATGTATCATGTATCATGTATCATGTATCATGTATCATGTATCATGTATCATGTATCATGTATCATGTATCATGTATCATGTATCATGTATCATGTATCATGTATCATGTATCATGTATCATGTATCATGTATCATGTATCATGTATCATGTATCATGTATCATGTATCATGTATCATGTATCATGTATCATGTATCATGTATCATGTATCATGTATCATGTATCATGTATCATGTATCATGTATCATGTATCATGTATCATGTATCATGTATCATGTATCATGTATCATGTATCATGTATCATGTATCATGTATCATGTATCATGTATCATGTATCATGTATCATGTATCATGTATCATGTATCATGTATCATGTATCATGTATCATGTATCATGTATCATGTATCATGTATCATGTATCATGTATCATGTATCATGTATCATGTATCATGTATCATGTATCATGTATCATGTATCATGTATCATGTATCATGTATCATGTATCATGTATCATGTATCATGTATCATGTATCATGTATCATGTATCATGTATCATGTATCATGTATCATGTATCATGTATCATGTATCATGTATCATGTATCATGTATCATGTATCATGTATCATGTATCATGTATCATGTATCATGTATCATGTATCACGTATCACGTATCACGTATCACGTATCATGTATCATGTATCATGTATCACGTATCACGTATCACGTATCATGTATCACGTATCACGTATCACGTATCACGTATCACGTATCACGTATCACGTATCACGTATCACGTATCACGTATCACGTATCACGTATCACGTATCACGTATCACGTATCACGTATCACGTATCACGTATCACGTATCACGTATCACGTATCACGTATCACGTATCACGTATCACGTATCACGTATCATGTATCATGTATCACGTATCACGTATCATGTATCATGTATCATGTATCATCTATCATGTATCATGTATCATGTATCATGTATCATGTATCATGTATCATCTATCATGTATCATCTATCATGTATCATCTATCATGTATCATGTATCATGTATCATGTATCATGTATCATGTATCATGTATCATGTATCATGTATCATGTATCATGTATCATGTATCATGTATCATGTATCATGTATCATCTATCATGTATCATGTATCATGTATCATGTATCATGTATCATGTATCATGTATCATGTATCATGTATCATGTATCATGTATCATGTATCATGTATCATGTATCATGTATCATGTATCATGTATCATGTATCATGTATCATGTATCATGTATCATGTATCATGTATCATGTATCATGTATCATGTATCATGTATCATGTATCATGTATCATGTATCATGTATCATGTATCATGTATCATGTATCATGTATCATGTATCATGTATCATGTATCATGTATCATGTATCATGTATCATGTATCATGTATCATGTATCATGTATCATGTATCATGTATCATGTATCATGTATCATGTATCATGTATCATGTATCATGTATCATGTATCATGTATCATGTATCATGTATCATGTATCATGTATCATGTATCATGTATCATGTATCATGTATCATGTATCATGTATCATGTATCATGTATCATGTATCATGTATCATGTATCATGTATCATGTATCATGTATCATGTATCATGTATCATGTATCATGTATCATGTATCATGTATCATGTATCATGTATCATGTATCATGTATCATGTATCATGTATCATGTATCATGTATCATGTATCATGTATCATGTATCATGTATCATGTATCATGTATCATGTATCATGTATCATGTATCATGTATCATGTATCATGTATCATGTATCATGTATCATGTATCATGTATCATGTATCATGTATCATGTATCATGTATCATGTATCATGTATCATGTATCATGTATCATGTATCATGTATCATGTATCATGTATCATGTATCATGTATCATGTATCATGTATCATGTATCATGTATCATGTATCATGTATCATGTATCATGTATCATGTATCATGTATCATGTATCATGTATCATGTATCATGTATCATGTATCATGTATCATGTATCATGTATCATGTATCATGTATCATGTATCATGTATCATGTATCATGTATCATGTATCATGTATCATGTATCATGTATCATGTATCATGTATCATGTATCATGTATCATGTATCATGTATCATGTATCATGTATCATGTATCATGTATCATGTATCATGTATCATGTATCATGTATCATGTATCATGTATCATGTATCATGTATCATGTATCATGTATCATGTATCATGTATCATGTATCATGTATGAACCATGGCTTCATGAGAAACGTTTATCTAAAACTAAAAAGAAAGATTAAGTGCTGCGACGTATGTTGTTTATGGGGCTTAACTTGGTAAAGGGGGTTGTAAGAATCATTTGCTGTTGATTCTACCCATCCCTCTCCTTCCATTTTGCCCCCCCCCCCCCTACCACCACCACCACAACAAACCTGTTTGATAAACCAAGCACATCTAAAGACGTAACAAGTTTTTGGTATTGACGTTTGTTATCGAAGTTAGTTTTTTTGACGTTAGTTGTGAAAGAAAAAACACGCAGATTACGAAAGATACAGATGGGCAAGCCTTTGATCTACGGGTCAGATGGTGGCAAGGGGGATAAATCCTCCCATTCTTTTACATTTTTATTCAATAAGTTTTGTTTTGTTTGTTTCGAACTTAAATCTATGATACTTAAAATAGTTGGAAAGAGTATCTCTGGATAGTAATTGTCGTGTGGAGCTCCTAAATGAATTGTATATAGATGAGTCTTGGTTCATGTATACATTAAATATTAAATTTTTGTATCAATCTCGATGACAATAAATAAATAATGAAAGAAAAATTAATTAATGTCTGCGACCCAAAACATTTTACTGAATTTCATAATTGCTCCATTTACAAAATAATTTATAGAGATACTTTAGGTACATAAGTAGATCAGCCTTCTGGATTTTTGCACTTCATATTGAGAAATTCTCCACCACAGTAGAAAAATATCAGTACTCTGTTGTAGCGCTTACAAAATAACAAAACAAGCTATTCTAATTAAAACTAAAATCAAAGCAGTCAGTTTATAAAAATATTTATTCAATCTCTCATTAAAGCTGGAATGTATTCAAAAGTCTAAGCAAAGTTTCAAGATTGAGAAAAGAAAATGTTAACTCTACTTTAGGAAATATTGGGCATACTTAGGCTGTGAAACAGAGAGAAAAATGATCTTTACTTTTTTTAATGCTATGTACAACAATATTCCTTTATTTCAACCATACTTTCTAGATATAAGAGTTGCTTTATATTTCTTAAAAGTTGAGATCTATAAAACGTTTTGAATATTTTGTTAAAATTAAAATTGGTTTTGACAATTTTATTTTCAAAATTTTATTTTTGGTCAAACCCCCTATGGTCAACCGTAGCAAAATCACGTGTAGTCTGAGGTTCGCGTACCGTTTTAAGTTAGACTTTTTTAGTTGTAAACAACAGAGAAAAAAAAAAGAATAAATTCTAATTGCTTCAGCAAACAAAGAGCTGCATACTCAACTTGTATTAAACAAGTAATTAAACGAACGATAAAAACATGTTTGAAGTTCGTCCATATCGACATGCAAGATTGGGTTGTGAGGCCGCACATGTGTTTTGGTCCGCAAGCGCACTGACAAATTGACGTTAGTAATGTTTAGTACACAAAGTTTTTTCAAAAGTAATTCAGTTGTGTGTATAATTTTAAAAAGGTCCAATGTGAATATTTTTTTTTCAAAATTTTCCAATTAGAGTTTATATGTTTAATTTTTTTAAATTATCCAATTAGAGTAATATGCCTAGTCGATTTTGTTTCCCTAACGTGAGTCAGATAACAATTTAAGATCGTTGCAGTCAGGAATAGCCTACATATCTGAGTTCGTGATCCAAACTCGAGATTTTCTGGTTAGCAGACGCAAGCTCTACCATACGACCATGTCGTCCCATGGTTGTTTTTTTATTTGTTGGACTTCATACAAAATCTACAGCTCTAACAAGTGCAGTAATAAATGTCAGGATTATAACAAACAATCAAGTGAAACAATTATAAGAATAAGTCACTTGATTTAAGCAGGTACTTTATTAATTAAAGCAAATGAAAAATACGATCCCGTAACATTTTTTAAAAATCTCTGATTTGATAAGTTATACCTGTAGTATAATATTGGAAAAATAATTCTAATTTAATCTTAAAAAAACTATT